GACTATCAGTTATAGTTGGGGATTATTTTTCGTTGCCGCTCTAGATGCCGGTGCATTTACGGGGTGGAGGTTATTTGTTTCTTCAGATTATTGCCTCGCTTTAGTCATTTGTTCTGTTAAATGTCAGAAAATAGTAAAAACTCGTAACCCATAGTCCAGGATAATGTCTTTAAATGTCTTGTTTTGCAGGTCAAAAGCCCTATATTAAGAGAAAGGCAGCAAATCTCTATATTTCCTGAATGATAGATTATTAAAATAGTTGGGGTATATCTCTAGATGCCGGTGCACTTACTGGGGTGGAAGGTCTGGACTTCCTGCCAGCCTTTTGGACAGGTTCTGTTTGATGTTACTGAAGGGGGTCAAACCCGCTGACTCCTGATTTCTGTTGCATACTTTTCTTTGACCAGAAGCACCTGCCGCAGGGTCTGGATCTCATCCTCCACCTGGAAGAAACACAAAACAGTTCAAAGACAGAGAGGAGATGTTGTTAAATGTTGTTCTTTTGTGATTGATACCCACGCGTCACCTTTGTCAGTTCAGTCCGCATATAGTCTATGTCCTCCTCTGATAGATTTGGGGAGAGATTCCATTCTCCACCACCCTTTGGGAATAACTCATGGATGATGAAGCCCCGCCATAACCTAAAAAAGACGTACGGAAAAGAAACACAAGCTAAAAAATGACGAGACGGGGATTGAAGGAAATAGATATTTTGGAGGAAGTACTACATGCCACATCTGTCAGTGGGCCTTCACTATAAACAGCAAGGTGCATATAATGTTAAATCAACTACAGAAGAAACTTACATATCGTTGCAATTAGGCAGAAAAATAATATGTGATTTGATCGACAATAGCATTTGCAATCGGGCAAAAATATTTAGTAAAATATTGGTATATTGGATTTTCTTTTTATCCAATATTGTGCATCTCAACGTTGGTTTAAGTCAAAAAAGTTATTTACACAAAAAACACATATGTATACTGTATATCTTGTGAATTTCTAGATGAATATTAAGTTAGTAAAAAGGGTTATTATATATATCACTCGCATTATAGAGTAGTCGGTACAGCGACAGTAGGGATATGGCAATATAGCATGCAACCTAATTCCGACTATTTTTACATTTAGTATTTTGCCATGTCGAAATTAAAAAGAGGAACAAACACTATTCTCCAATGTGTTGTCAGGTGACAATTCCACCTGACACGACACACCACACACACACACCACACAGTTTATTTGCAGAACTTAATCCCCTGCACACACAACGTTTACAAATGAGAGTGCACAACATCCAGAAAACAGTTAATTTAAATAATATAACACACGGACAACTTTAAGAAATATTGTCGAATAAAGTTAAAACGGCAGTAGTTATACGCAGTAACGGTTTATTATTAGCACAGGGTAATAAACAGTGGAGCTGTCCGTGGTGCTGAGCTAACAGCTACCCGAAGCTAAATGCTAACTTGTTGCTCACGGAGCTAACGTTAGCCACCGTCGACAGCAGCATTTAAACTCTCAAAACACGGTAAACTAACATACATATCTGTTGTATACATTGTACGGTGTTGTGAGAGCAATGTGAGAAGGCTTTACCTTGTTTGTCCATCGCTGTCTCACTTTAACCTCCGTAGTGTTCAGACCGGCTTTCCGGCAGCAGCTTCCAGCTCAGCCCCGAAACAGAGACGCTCAGACGGCTTACAGATGCTGCTCCGCCCCGCTGGTGGGCGCTGCTCTCCAGATACAAATACTTCATCATACAGTATGCACAGCAGATACAGGGTAGATATGCAGAGGTGGGAGAAGTACTCAGATATTGTACTTGAGTAAAAGTAGAAGTACTCAGATATTGTTCTTGAATAAAAGTAGAAGTACTCAGATCTTGTACTCGAGTAAAAGTAGAAGCACTCAGATCTTGTACTTGAGTAAAAGTAGAAGTAATAGTATCTTGTACTTGAGTAAAAGTAGAAGTAATAGTATCTTGTACTTGAGTACAAGTAGAAGTACTCAGATCGTGTACTTGAGTAAAAGTAGAAGTAATCAGATATTGTACTTGAGTAAAAGTACTCAGATCTTGTACTTGAGTAAAAGTAGAAGTACTCAGGTCTTGTACTTGAGTAAAAGTATCTCGTACTTGAGTAAAAGTAGAAGTACTCAGATCTTGTACTCGAGTAAAAGTATCTTGTACTTGAGTAAAAGTAGAAGTAATCAGATTGTGTACTTGAGTAAAAGTAGAAGTACTCAGGTCTTGTACTTGAGTAAAAGTATCTTGGACTTGAGTAAAAGTAGAAGTACTCAGATCTTGTATTTGAGTAAAAGTATGAGTACCTCTACTTAGTTACTTCCCACTTCTGTAAATACGGTAATGAAACACTTTTTTCCTCTTTATTTGACGAGTATTTAAAAAATAAATTGGCTTTCTTTTTTAAATCTTTCTCTTGAATTTCTTGCTTCTGTAAAAGTCAGATTTTTTACATTTATATTTAATTTAATATTCCAATCCTTACACACTTAATGTAAATACTATCCTGCTGTATATTGTGTTCACTGAAACTCTAATGCCAGTTTATTCTATTTTGAGATGTTTGTATTTGAGAATTGTTTATTTCTACTCTTTTAATCTCCAAGTATGTGCAAGGCCTTGTTTATGCTGCAGCAACGAAAATGTTTCCCTATTTGGGATCAATAAAGTACATCTCATCTTATTTATATACGGGGGGACTGTGGCTGTACATTAGTGTATAAGTACAGTCCATTTACCTCTCCAATTAACAATGCATTTGTGTTATGTTTAGGTATTGAACATGGCCATTTTGGCCTTCATATTTATACGTCTACGACTGAAAACCATAATATCAAACTTAAAACCAAGGCCTTATTATTGTATATGTATTATTATAACTTGAAATGTGTTACTTTTAACTTTATATTGTGATTTCTCTTTACCTCTGAACCCACTTTGTGTATAAAAGGTACTTCCACATTGAAACGTCTGTACAAACTGCGGGTCACCAGTCCAAATGTTCAGGAACATTTATTCAACAACAGCAAATCAGATCAGTGATCCACTTGTTTTCTTCCAGACACACATTTACCATGCTACAACAGAAGGGTTTATACTTTATATGGACGAGTGTATGTACAAGCGACCTTAACCATTAACCTTGCTAAAATTCAATGGTCACATTACAACACCATACCAGTTAATAAAATCATATCCATCATCGAGTATGAAATAAATAAAACTCCAAAAGAAATGCATCATATAACCATTTCACTATAGTTACACTTTATATAGTATGTCGTCTTTTTATGGAGTCATTTCCTGATTTTCTTTTTTTAAACACACAGTGCATTCAACTGAGAACATTTACAGTAGCGTCTTTCAGTATCTCAATGAAAAAGCCATGACGGGAACATCTATGTTTCATCGAGGGTTAGGGGAAACATCGCACGGGGGGCACAGAGGTCACATCCATACCGTTAAGAGCAGAGGGTGGCGACAGGAGCGCACCAATTGTAAACCATTGAAACACATTATTAGCATTTATGAAAACGGACAAGATGTTCATGGCAATTTATGGCAAAGTGTGTGCGATGCAGATTCAGTGGTATGAAAAATCTCTTCTTTTTTTTTTTAAACGTGGAGCTGCCTGTAAGCACTGATGATGATGATATGCCGACGAGCTTCTTACTCTACAAAAAAATATAGTCAACAATGATAAAACGATCACAGCATCGGACTTCAGTTCAAAACACGAGGACGAGAAACATGATCTGATTTATGCACGACATAAAAAACAGTCAGGTCAGTCGGGCTGTACCGGATTGAACTCACTGACATTTTGAAGCTTCTGTTCAAGTCTTCTAATCAAGCTTTTCATTTTTTTCCTTACTGTGTGTTTATGACTCCAACGTACATTTAGTAGTGTACGTGACACCTGCTTGGCAATACACCAAATTCAGATTCTGATATTAAATGACGTCCATTTAAGAAAGTCTTGCATATTAATCTTTTTTGAATACATGCTCTCTATTCTTGCCTCCCTCTAAAAGTAAAAAGGTGGTTTTGAGATATAAATGCCCAAAAATACGGATTAAAGCCGACTTTTTTTTATGAGATAGAAATAAATGTGGACTTTTGGGAAGTTGGATCACACGAGTCCTATGCAGCGACTACTGGAATCTACTTTGACTATAATACTAATTATATAAGTGTAGCTTAATCTCCATCAGACAAAGGGCACGAACACTGGCTTTAAACACAATTCATTTACATGCAAAGATAATTGTGCAGCATTGCATTGTAGTTTTATAATTCCAATGCTAAGCTAAGTCATCGGTACAGCCCAACTAATCAGCTTTATTTCCCCGCTCTAAAAGGTGTAACATGTTTTGTTTTCCACATCACATTAACTACTCCACATATTCAAGACGGCTCAGAGTTGAAAACATGTTAACCTCCTCCACAGCTCCACAGCTCCATGGGTAAACAAAACTAAACAATGACATGCAATTCACTTCCTTAGTCTTAATTAGTGATGACTGCTTGCAAATGGAATAAAAAAATAAGAGCAGCAAGTCATCCTAGATGCTTTTAGACAAAAAACCTTTTCTTCACTAATTTAAATAATCAGTTTTTTGTATGAGATTCAAATGTCTGAATCCAATTATAACATCATAATCAAATGTAGCTGCTGATGTGAGGAATAAGTGGTGAAAAAATATAATTCTTTCTGGACTGAAAGCCTGCCATAAGTATGTTTAATGCAAATCAAATAAAAAACAGAATAACGTTCGAGCTGTGCAGCGCTGCGGCAAAGAAAGAAAAACAGGCGCTGAAATAAAGCTGAGTCGGGGGGGGGGGGAATGTAAAGCCAACACTAATTATAATAACTAACGTTTTGTCAGCAGACATCTGTGGGTGTCTGCATAAAGCTCGGTGCATTATCCGCCTCATGATTCACATTAAAAACTCTCCGGGGGGGGGGGGGGGGGGGGGGGCTGGGGGGGGGGGCACGCTCACAGACAAACACACACAGACTCAAACGGGCTCTGATTTAAGGGAAAAATTGCACGAGTAAATGATAGCACTGATCACACACCGTCTGAAAAGCCCCCTGAGCCCCCTCTCCTCTGTGTGAACATATTGCACTAACACGTATATATCTATAGATGAGAGCAACCAATCGGGTTCTTTCCTTCTACGTCATGCCCCGCCCCTTTTTGGGTGACTTTGGGTGTCATGTGACTGGCGGGAAGTACAGATTGTGAGGTTTTTTCGCTAATCACATGAAAACATGAGGAATACAGTGCGTTTTTTAATCTACATGGAGCCCAATTAGGATGCTCAAATGACTACAGAATGTTGTTGGAGATTTATTATCATCAGCGTCTATTTATAGTTTAATTTAAATAAATATATTTCACTCTAACAGTGGATGAGTGGCTAGTACTGCATATATGTGAATGGAGTACATGCAGTATATTTACTACTCTGACTTTTACTATTACAACTGTTTACGTTGATGATTGACGTTAGCCTCGTTAGCATCATTAGCTGTGAGGAAGTGTTTCCCACAGACGTACGAGGCCTGAAGCCACAGATCCACCTTTTTTCGGAGAGGAAGTAAAGAGAAATATTGTTGTTGTTTGTGCAATACACAACACAACAGGTTTTAGCAAAGATACAACTATATTTCCCCGCTTAACGCTGATGTTTTGGTTTCACACATAAGTGGGCGGGGCTGTAATTTTGCCAGGAAGCGACGTAGCTGCTGCTCTCATCTATGAACTCTGCAGAGTAAAACTGTTTTGCAAAACATGAAACATTTGGATACCATTTTGGAAACAGTGCATGCCAGGATGTGGGACAAAGAGAGAGAGAGAGAGGGGGGGTCAAAAGGCCGAGAGAAACCAAACTGTTTGAGGAGTGACTTCTTGATTAGTTCCTTGGTAACGGGCCATGCTTACGAGTCCCTCAGCGCCGCTCTGGAAACAACATGGCCGCCGCCCTCTTCTTCTGGCTGAGGTGGAGCAGGCAGGACCGCGGGGGGGTGGGTGGGTCGTGGGGGGGGCGGGGGTTAGTTGAAGCCGGTGTCGGTGTGGTAGGAGTGATGGCCGTCCCCCGTGAGCTGCGTGGTCTCTGTGGCTGACGGCTGCAGCATTATGGGGTCGCCCCCAGCCTCTACTTATAAAACAAATAAGACAACAGGTTTCAGCCTCTTCGCTCTAATAGAGGGGCTCAATGAGGGGGGGGGCAGCGTCCCCAGGCTGCGTCCACACTGGGTCGAGGGGGGCTTAGTGGACGGGAGTGAGAGAATATAGCATTAGTTATCACAGAGGAGATGACCCTCTGCTTCAACAAACATGTAGACTGAGAGATTCAAACAGAGGACATTTCTCAGGTCAGAGCAAGAGGACGACAACGTGTTCAGATATCTTACTTCTATTAAAGTAGTAATACCAGAGTGTAGAAATACTCTGGTATAGGTTAAAGACTTTAAAATGCACTCGTAGAATTGTGCTATATGAATTAGGGCTGTAACATCAATCAAAATGTGTCCTAAAATATTTATATTTATAGTCTGAAGTTATGTCAAACATGCAAAATGCACACAGAAAATGAGAATAACTAAGCAAGAAAACTCACTTTTGAGAGAGGATGTCTATTTTAACCCCACATGACTAAGCTTTAGGCAGAGGAGGGAAGTAGTGGAGTACAAATACTACGTTACTGTATTTAGGGTAGGGTAGGTAATTTTGGAGAAACCAGCTCGAGATCGCTAGAATTTGAAAATACACAACCGGAAAAAATCTGCCCCTTCCTTACAGAGCCCCTCCTCCAACACACACGAACGCGCACATGACCAATGAGGGCACGAGATAAGTTTGTGCACAGATGGAAGGCTGACAGGCAGGTAGGTCATCCAGTTATTTTAGCCGGGCCGGCTCAGATGATTGGTCGTGCTTTTTACAGTACTACGGCTTCCACAGATGATATTTTTTTATGGATTTTTTGTCAAAGCACTTCAGATATTCATTGCTATCGGGATGTTAAGAGCATTCCATGGAATATAACAAAAAGTGTATCTCGAGCCGGTTTCTCAAACTTACCTACCCCACCTTTAAATAAATCTTTCTGGTATCAGTACTTTACTCCACTACTTATTTTTCTGACGACTTTTTACTTTTACTTCTTACATGTTGAACACAAATACCTGTACTTTCTACTTCTTACATGTTGAACACAAATACCTGTACTTTCTACTTCTTACATGTTGAACACAAATACCTGTACTTTCTACTTCTTACATGTTGAACACAAATACCTGTACTTTCTACTTCTTACATGTTGAACCCAAATACCTGTACTTTCTACTTCTTACATGTTGAACACAAATACCTGTACTTTCTACTTCTTACATGTTGAACCCAAATACCTGTACTTTCTACTTCTTACATGTTGAACACAAATACCTGTACTTTCTACTTCTTACATGTTGAACTCAAATACCTGTACTTTCTACTTCTTACATGTTGAACACAAATACCTGTACTTTCTACTTCTTACATGTTGAACCCAAATACCTGTACTTTCTACTTCTTACATGTTGAACACAAATACCTGTACTTTCTACTTCTTACATGTTGAACTCAAATACCTGTACTTTCTACTTCTTACATGTTGAACCCAAATACCTGTACTTTCTACTTCTTACATGTTGAACACAAATACCTGTACTTTCTACTTCTTACATGTTGAACCCAAATACCTGTACTTTCTACTTCTTACATGTTGAACACAAATACCTGTACTTTCTACTTCTTACATGTTGAACTCAAATACCTGTACTTTCTACTTCTTACATGTTGAACCCAAATACCTGTACTTTCTACTTCTCACATTTCCCAAACAGGCTGGTTCCTTTAGTTTGAATGTGTGTTTGGTGGCGTGATCATTATTATTTAGAGTCATTGCGTGCCTATTGATTTGAACACGATCCGTGTATCCATCATTTCCTGGTCTTCTCTAAAGAAGAGGGACCAATGAAAACGTTGTCATGTTGCCGTTGTTCAGCATGGAAACATTCATTAGCTAACAATGACATTATTGTTCTATTAATATAAAGGGAGGTCAGGTACTCTTTAAAACAGCTGCTAGTTATGGGTACTTTTTACTGAAGTACATTTCAAAGCCCTCTTTACTTTGACTTGAGTAAAGAAGTTTAGTCAGTACTTCTACTTTTACCAGAGTATTTTTAAACACGAGTATCTGTACTTCTCCTTGAGTAAAGGATGTGTGTACTTCTGCCATCTCTGGCTTCAGGTGTTGTGGTCTCACCTCTCTCGTCAGACTGCAGCTGGGCCTCCAGGTCTTCAGGAGACACGTAGAACGCCTGCTCCTGGCCCTCTCGAGGCCGGGGTTTACATTTCCCACAGCAGCAGTTACAGCAGCAGCACAGGCAGCAGCAGAAGTAGCAGCCGGTGGCCAGACCGCAGAACACAAACAGCGCCTGAAGGGGAAGAAAACCAGGTGAGAGGAAGACAAAACTGTGTGGTGTCATGCCAATACTTCTTCCTGGCTAAAGCGTGAAGGTGCAGCTCTGCACATTCAGGGCAGGGTTTCTTTAGAGCACAGTTAGCTGCCGAGTGTGACGTACGGCCGCACGGTTTCCCCTTTGAATCCACTTCTGTAATTTCCCCTTAGTTTGGGCTTTGATATTTGAGCACGGCTACGGCAGAAGAGACAGTAGTCATTTGATTGGTTACGTGTAGTTGTAGAAGGTTTTGCTTGCTGAGTCAACTGGGTGACCCACGCATAAGAAGATCCAGGATCAGCACCATAGTGTTGGGTACATATTTTCCTAGGCCCATAACTCTGACCCAGTTGATCAGTCTGCCCTCACTGAGCTCAGGCCTGCACCTCGGGCTGCTCTCAGTGTGTGGTCTCCCTGCTCCTGACACATTCTTCTCTCTGAGCTAAATACACGGGTCTGGGGGAGAGATCTCCAGAACATGTCTTCTTGTGAATTCTCCGGCCGAAGCTCCAAATAAACCATCAAAGTTCCTGCTCTCTCTGAGTCTCCATTGATCCAGAAGTTTCCATCAAAAATAACAACGACGGCAGTTTCATTAAATGAGAGCCACACACACACAGCACCACCCAGAGGTCGCGTTAACCGAATATTTTCCATCTATGACCTATTTTTTTTAACAATGACGGAAAAATCTGAAAGCAGTCCGTCATTTTGACAGATTAGAACAAACTCAGAACAGCGCCAAAGCTTCCCCGCAGCGAGGCTCCGGTGTTATGCATGCCCGCCAAAAAGGAGATGATATCGTTTCCAAACCGAACTTTGCCGTATACAAATCATTGAAATGTCTGCGAGTGCTTTATCCTGTGGCGCACAGTGAGCATGCATAACACCGGCGCTAACAGTTCACGAGCGTCTCACCCACCCCCGTTGACAGTTCACGAGCGTGCTCTCCCCCCCCCCCCACAGTTGTGTACAGACTGACGGGTAATAATGGATTGAGACGGAAATGTTACGATCCTGTCCGTCAACATGACCGGCAGCGAAAAACTCGAGCGCAACCTCTGGCACCACCATAGATATATAAAGAGCACCACACACACTCTGCATGTAACCCGTCCTGGTATTAGGAGCAGTTATTATAGTGGATACCCGGCGCCCAGGAAGCACTGTGAGGGGCAAATAAGAGCCAATATTAAAACAACCACGCATACAAATATACGTATATATATATATCGACTCCGGGCTTTCGGAATCGACCAGAAGTTCATGTTACTGTTCTATCACGCAGTGTTGGAGAGCATCATGAGGTATGGTATCACTGCCTGGTACGGTAACTTGACAGTGCAGTCAAAGTCACAGATCGCTCGCCTAGTACAGACTGCTATGAAGATTATGGGGGTTAAAAAACACCCATCTCTCCAAAACATATACGAGCAGTCGATTATGAGACAGGCAAAACAAATGGTGTCTGATCCCACCCACATACTCCACCCAGAATTCCAGCTCCTACCTTCTGGTAGAAGACTCAGGGTTCCCAGGAGCAGGCTGAACCGCTATAAGCACTCATTCCTACCTATGTCCATTAAGCTTCTTAACATTCACATGAAATGATATGTAGTCAAATGTAATGAAATGTACTTTTTAAATGTTGGCCATGAGGGTTGTGCAATAGGTCGCCATTGTCAGTATGTGCGTCTGTGTATTGTGTTTGTTCAAACGGTGTATGACTGATGATATGTGTATGTCTCTTAATGTCCACTATATGTACATGTATGCACTGCAGGACGGAGTCCAGAGCACATGTCCTTACGGGGACAATAAAGTATATCGTATCGTATCGTACATAAAAACATCTTGACCAGGCTGAGCAAACCCTCTCCTTGCTCCCATAAGGTCTGATACGGGCCAGTCCCGCTACTATAATATAATGCTATTATTATTATTATTTATTTTGTATGTACTCTTGTGACATTTCTGTTCTTTTTGTGGCATTGTATTATACCTATTTTAACTTCTTTATCATAACGTTTGTAGATATTTCAAGTAATTCAATGACTCACAGGAGGGCGACAGTATGTTTTCTATAAACTAAGCTTTCTGTCCTCCCGCTTCAGTACCTTGTCTGTGTATATTAATGTTGAATAAAACCATAAAATACTTGGTAACTGATGAGTTGTTCGTTCAAAGTTTTTGGTGTTATTCCCTTTTTTTATATATACACACATATTTATTTCTCTTATTTCTCCGATATTTGCTCACATTTCACATTTTATTTTACAGTATTCTTATAGTTTCTCCTTTGTATGTATAGGTACATTTATTGTAACCATTTTTATTAATTTATTCTATTTAATTATATATTTTTCAATTGTTGTTTTCACTGTTGGCCTGCGACCTCAGTTGGTCATACATTACATAATCACACCGTAGTTGTGTATACGTTGTGAAAAGGAACCTCTGAATGTTGAATGTTGAGTCTTGAACCCTGATCTAGTGGTGCTGCTCCTCGGTCTCACCTTGGCCCACCAGCTGGAGAGAACGAAGTAGGTGTTGACGTTCTCCTCTCCGAACTGCTCGGCCACGTAGAGCCCCAGAGAGCCGTATTTGTCGTAGATGTTCCTCTTGGTCGGGTCGTTCAGGATGGCGTGAGCGTTGTTGATCTCCTTGAATTTATCCGCCGCCTCGGGGTTTTCGGGATTCTTGTCGGGGTGGAACTTCAACGCAAGTTTCCTGTGGAGAAAATCAGAGAAAAAAGACTATGAAATAAAATATAAAATCACATTATTATTATCAAAATGTAAGAAGTAGAAAGTACAGGTATTTGTGTTTAACATGTAACAAGTAGAAAGTACAGGTATTTGTGTTCAACATGTAAGAAGTAGAAAGTACAGGTATTTGTGTTCAACATGTAAGAAGTAGAAAGTACAGGTATTTGTGTTCAAAATGTAAGAAGTAGAAAGTACAGGTATTTGTGTTAAAAATGTAAGAAGTAGAAAGTACAGGTATTTGTGTTCAACATGTAAGAAGTAGAAAGTACAGGTATTTGTGTTCAACATGTAAGAAGTAGAAAGTACAGGTATTTGGGTTCAACATGTAAGAAGTAGAAAGTACAGGTATTTGTGTTCAACATGTAAGAAGTAGAAAGTACAAGTATTTGGGTTCAACATGTAAGAAGTAGAAAGTACAGGTATTTGGGTTCAACATGTAAGAAGTAGAAAGTACAGGTATTTGGGTTCAACATGTAAGAAGTAGAAAGTACAGGTATTTGGGTTCAACATGTAAGAAGTAGAAAGTACAGGTATTTGTGTTCAACATGTAAGAAGTAGAAAGTACAGGTATTTGTGTTCAACATGTAAGAAGTAGAAAGTACAGGTATTTGTGTTAAAAATGTAAGAAGTAGAAAGTACAGGTATTTGTGTTCAACATGTAAGAAGTAGAAAGTACAGGTATTTGTGTTCAACATGTAAGAAGTAGAAAGTACAGGTATTTGGGTTCAACATGTAAGAAGTAGAAAGTACAGGTATTTGTGTTCAACATGTAAGAAGTAGAAAGTACAAGTATTTGGGTTCAACATGTAAGAAGTAGAAAGTACAGGTATTTGGGTTCAACATGTAAGAAGTAGAAAGTACAAGTATTTGGGTTCAACATGTAAGAAGTCAAAGTAAAAAGTCATCAGAAAAATAAGTAGTGGAGTAAAGTACTGATACCAGAACAATGTACTTAAGTACAGTAACGAAGTATTTGTACTCCACCTCTGTCTAAAGCTTCGTCAGGGCATGGGGGTTTTAAAAAAAGGCGTCCTCTCTCAAAAGTGAGTTTTCTTTATTCTCATTTCCTGGATGCGTATTGGATCAAATATGTTATTCAATCCCAAAGACACTCAACTTTCAATCAGAATCAGAATACCTTTATTAGTCCCACAGAGGGGACATTTACATTCAAACTAGATAGACTAATATTACTGTTGGACATAACTACAGACGGCATCATAATACAAATAAAGCTTAGTCAGTGCATGTGACACTGTGGGCGTCCTCTCTTAGTTATTCTCATTTCCTGGGTGCATATTGGATCATACATCTTATTCAATCCCAAAGACACTGAACTTTGAAACTAGGTAGACTAATATTACTGTTCGACGGCATCAAACTCCTTGTACTCCACTCCTTCCCACCTCTGCCTAAAGCTTAGTCAGAGCATGTTTGTTTTTACAACGGGCATCCTCTCTCAAAAGTGAGTTTCTTATAGTTATTCTCATTTCCTGGGTGCATATTGTACTCCACTTGTAGGTGTGCCTCACCTGTAGGACCTCTTGATGTCGTCGGGGGTCGCCACCTTCTCCACCCCCAGCACGAGGTACAGAGTCTCCCCGGCGGTGGAGAGCGAGCGCTGCCTCTGGTGCTCTGCCATGATCTCTCTCTGAAAACAGGGAGGGAGCAGGGATCAAGATTCAAGGCTTGTGTTCAACAGCTACAGTTTAGTTATGACAATGAGCATCTGAGGTCACAGGCTCCTCCTCCAACAGAGCAACATAATACAACTGATGAAATAGTGCAAGTAAATACAATAAAATAGACTATTGTTGTAAATGTATTATCTTTTCGATTTACACACGGCATCTATTGCACGTCTGTCCGTCCTGGGAGAGGGATCCCTCCTCTGGTGCTCTCCCTGAGGTTTCTCACATGTTCCCCTTTAAACTGTGGGGTTTCTCTGGAAGTGTTTCCTTGTATGATGTGAGGGTCTAAGGACAGAGGGTCTAAGGACAGAGGGTCTAAGGACAGAGGGTCTAAGGACAGAGGGTCTAAGGACAGAGGGTGTCGTATTGTCACTGATATTCTGTACAAACTGTGAAGTCCACTGAGACAAATGTAACATTTGTGATATTGGGCTATATAAATAAACATTGATTGATTGATTGATTGAGACTAGAATAGAAATAGTGCAGAATAGTCTATACTAGGAACTCCCTCCCCCAAGACCTCCGTGACTCTGAGACCCTCACCCCGTTCCAGTCCCGCCTCAAGACCCATCTCTTGTCATCAATACACTCATAGCCCCCCCCATCAATCCCTGTCTGTCCTTCTCACACCCCCCCCCCCCCCCCTCCAAACTGTAAAGCGACTTTGAGACTTGAAAAGCGCTATAAAAATTCAATTTATTATTATTATATACAAGTAATTGGAGTATGATATATTAGATATGTTTAAAGTTGCAAACTGATGAATGTTATGGATGTTCTTTCAAAAGTTGGAACACCACATATACACATCTGTTCAACTAAATAAATCATGCCTGTGGGGCGGAGAGGAGAGGAAGAGGTACGCAGATCTGTAGAAATACCACAGAGCAAATAAGAAGTCCTGCTTTTGAAATATTTCTTAAGTAAAAGTTGAAATGCCGAGTCTATAAATGTGTATATTATACATGTATGTGTGACTGTCTTAAACCTTTCCTTAGAATATTTTATGAATTGTAAGGTGTCCCCTTGGACGCTTTGAAAGGCGCCTCCAAATAGAATGAATTATTATTATTATTATTATATAAAACGTGCATCATAATTGTCCCGTAGGTTGAAATACCACAACCTAAACTTAGCCTTTACTCGCACTTGGATTAGGAATACTGTTTCAGTTTTTTCTTTTCTTTACCGTTTCTGTTTCTGATTTTATGTAAAGCGTCTTTGAGCATTAGGAAAAGCGCTATAAAAATCCAATGTATTATTATGATTAATTTCATTTTCATTTAATCGTTTATTTGAACAGGGACAATGCACATTAATGAACCTTAAAGGGGACCTATCATGCAAAATGCACTTTTGTACGTCTTTTATACATGAACATGTGTCCCCGGTGTTCCAGGGAACTCACCAAGTGTCAGAAAACACAACCCTCTCTATTTTCCTCCATACCCAAATCTCTAAAAAAGGGGCTGCAACGGATCTGATAAAAACTGATCCAGATTTGAACACTGTCCTGACGTCAGGACGGTGGCGCTACGGCTATTGGGCCAACTCCACCAATCAGGAGGAGACAGCCACGGCCATTGCCGTTCGAAAGCGCTGGAGACGCTGTAGTACATATGCCAGGCCTGTAGGTGGTGCTGTTCTCACTGAATCAGCCCTTGCAAAAACAGAGCTAAAAAAGTGCACATTAAGCAAAATGAGGCATGGCTAAAATGCATGATCTGTTTGGTATTTTGAATTTTTTTTTTTTTTTTAAATATGCCTTATATAGGTATGGTCCTACACTATATTATTCAAATATAGCATGATAGGTCCACTTTAAGACAAATAATGCTTCAAGTGTAAATATGCCGGATATTAGCTTTGAGACCATTTCCATCCGCAGTCCCGTCACATACAACATATAAGAACATGACATTTATTAATCAGGGTATATGCAGGAATCCTGAAGTCACATGTAATACCTTTTAAGACCTTTTCTAAGACCCTTTCCATACAATTTAAGACCTCATCGCCACTTGGAGTTTTAACCGGTTACCTTGGCGACACACTTCACCTCACATTGACTATATACAGTATTGATTGTCCTTCCTCCTTATCTTCCAACCATTTGGACGCAGACTTGCATTTCCCCATAACCATGTTGTTTAACAACCGGCGTAAACGGACCTTCGCGCGCTATCAAGCAGTGAGCGTGCGATGTCCTGTTCAGATGACGTCAAACCCAACGGGATGCCATAAATAAACTACACAGAATCACACTACACACCTACGCAATGATTACATTCAGGCAGACTGTAGAATACAACCTCTTTGGACAATTCATATACTTATTGGAAACAAGCTACAAAATGTAATACCTTGGAAAATGCCGTTTAATACTTTTTGCTAAATTGATTTATCAACTTTTAATACTTTTTAAGACCCCGCGGACTCCCTGTATAAGCATAGCAAAAAATAAATACATGATATGCAGAAAGAGCAAGAGCAGCACACACAAGTATTTACCACATGGCAGGACACTATAGAAGCTACGACATATTAAGTGCAAGAGGAGATACCCCTGAGTTAAAGTGCATTTAGCGGTGATTGCCCGTCTGTTTGTTGCTCAACCATTCTCTGAGTTGACCTTTGAAGCTATTGAGAGTGGGACAATCCCGTATCTCAGTTGGGAGGCTGTTCCACAAAGAGCTGCCTTTAACGGAGAGGACATTTTGTCCAAAAGTGGTCCGTCTATGGTGGACCTCACAGTCTCCTCTGGTTTCTGACCTAGTGCAGCGTCCAGTGTGTTTTTTTGAGGGAGGGGGGTGGGGGGGGGCAGTCCATGTAAACTCAAGAAATGGTGTTTCTCAAGGATGGTACAGTGGTGGTATGAATTTGGCTTTCTGTCAAACACCTTGATAGCTCTCTTGAACATCTGTTCTATGGGTTTCAGGTTTGTGGCACAAGCTAACGACCAGTTTGTGAAACAGTATTCAATGTGGGATAGAATCATGCAGTGGAGGTATGACTTTGCAGCACTGACAGTTAAAGGGGGGGGTATGTAATTTTGGAGAAACCAGCTCGAGTGTGCTAGAATTTGAAAATACACAACCGGAAAAAATGTGCCCCTTCCTTCAGACTTCCTTACAGAGCCCCTCCTCCAACACACACGAACGCGCACATGACCAATGAGGGCACGAGATAAGTCTGTGCACAGATGGAAGGCTGACAGGCAGGTAGGCCATCCAGTTATTTTAGCCGGGCCGGCTCAGATGATTGGTCGTGCTTTTTACAGCGCCACAGCTTCCACAGATTACATTTTTGCATGGATTTTTTTGTCAAAGCATTTAATGTATTCATTGCTATCGGGATGTTAAGAGCATTCCATGGAATATAACAACAAGTGTTTCTGAAGTGAATTACCTACCCCACCTTTAAGAAGGGTCTAATTTGTTTAACATTTTTGCAAGTTGAATTTAATAGTATTTGATACTTTCTTAATATGTTTCTTAAAAGTCAAGTTCGAGTCCAGTATGACTCCAAGATAATAATAATACTCCTTTATACGTTACAAGTCCTTCATTTAAAATGTTACTGCAGTAAAAGCAGAAATACCACAGTTTAGAAATACATATAAAATACTAATTTCAAAATCTTGCTGAAGAAAAGTACTATAAAAAAAGTGTACAAATACAGTAAGAGTATTTGTACACTGCTATATATTGTATTACAGTGCACGTACAGTCCTGCCATTTAATTGACATGTGTACTAAATACAGAAGGAGAAATGTTCTGAATGTATTGGCTGTTTCAAGACGCTTCTATAATATCACTGCATATAATAAAATACTGTAATTCAATCCAGTATAGAATATAATTCACTGCTTATAAATACTGTAATATCAGATATAGGTTACTGAGGTTTTAGTGCATTCCTACATTTTTAACAAGCGTGAAAACAAAATGTGTCCAATGTTAAAATAAAAAATAAAAACTATGTATTTTTGACTTGGCGTCATGAAGGGAAAGACCCAAAATGAACCCTGTAAGCAGATTTCTTGATTACTGTAAAGAGCTATTGATTCGTCTCGGCTGTTTAATCACTAGAAGTGTTTCTCCTGGTTATTTATTGATGCTTCAATTAGTCGCCAAAAGAGAAGCTTATTTATATTATTAAATGTTCACTATATATATATATATATATATATATATATATATATATATATATATATATATATATACACTGCTGGGTACAGTAGCTTGGGAATTTCACCAAAGGACTCAATAAGTCTTATCTTAAATCTGTGATAACATGTTGTATTTGGTCATATTAACCAGCAAAGTACCTCCAAATTGTATTTAAGTAAATGACATTACATTACATGTCATTTGTTAGACGCTTTTATCCAAAGCGACTTACATACTTAATACTGTGGACAATCCCCACAGGAGCAATTTGGGGTGAAGTGTCTCAGGGACACAACGACATGCTGACTGCAGTGGGACTCGAACTTACTATCCCCTTATTTTGAAGTGCAGCACACTTTCCACTGAGCCACAGCCTCCCTTTACCTAAATGTATTTAGGTACACTGGTGACTGCAGGCAACAGCTGGCAATACAGATGTGTGGAAATACGCAGCTCTGTTAGACTTATAGGTGAAATGCTAAAGATCCATAAGGCCAACATGCTGGATCTCATATATTTTCATTCCCTAAAAAGTCAATTTTTCACATTTTGTGTGTGTAAATTGTGACATTTCTGTGCGTTTCTCCTGCAACCTCCTGGCCTCCCTGCCTGCCTCTGCTGCTGCGGGAACTAAATCACTTACTGACAACCATGATGCATGAGAAACACATCCAGCTAATTGATGCTAGAAAAACCCCAAATAAAAGCGACATCGCCATTTGTGAGAATATAGCTGCGTCCTAATGGGTGTCATCATGACACAGTATAGCCTCTGCACAGGATCATTCACCATCTTTACGCAGAAATACAAAACGTGTCTCAGTTTTCACTCCCTGGGTGTTAAACATGTCTTGGATACGGTGTGCATCCCGGTGTAAACGGTGCATTTGGAGGATTAGACGGTGGGAATGCGATGTTAGGATGCATAATCTGTGCAAGCATCATCCTCAGCTCTGCAGCAGCATCCATGTTGGTTCCCGGCCTGCTCTCCCCCAGCCGAGGGGATGCATCCTCGGCTCTGATTTTCAAGGACAAGGGGCTTCCTCTGGAGGAGATAATAAGAGATGCAGATGTGTTTCCGCTCACCTTTCCGATGCTCTGAAGCTGAAACTCTGACGGTCCTCTGGGTTCGGTTTTTCTCAGACTGAAGCGGAGACTATAGCTGCATCTCTGTGGCTCCACACACTACACAATCACACACACTACACAACCTCACACAACTACACAATCACAGACAGCTGCAGCAGTACGCAGGCTCCACCCCCCCCTCCAACCCAAAAAATACCCCATGGCGACCCGACGTGCGCGTAACCGAGAGGTGGGGGGAGGATGCAGGAGGCGCGCAGAGCAGAGACTAAGGAAATATAAAGGTGCAGAGACAGCAATGTTGGACTGAAATCTGCACCATCACACAACTGAGTTTAATGTAGATATTAAGACCACTTAACAATTAATAAATAACATGCATTGTGAGACCTTGAAGAAACTGTGAAATATGTTACATCACCTTTCTAAGATTAGCTTTGTAAACCACTAAAATAATTGTAGGCTACTTAAATTAATTTAATTTAAAAAAAGACACTGGGATCCAATGCAATAATTACTAATACATACTAATACATACTAATACATACTAATACATACTAATACATACTAATAAATACTAATAATAATATATAAGAAAGAAATAATAAAAAATAATAATTAAAAAAGGATGCTGAGATTTTATAAAAAGTTAAAAAAAAATATATATATAAAAACAAATCTGAATTCTGAGATTTAAAATAACAAATGTAAAAAAATTTAAGAAAATAAGTGTTTTAAAAAAACTGAATTCTGAGATTTTACAAAAAGGATGTGATATGTAGTTTTTTTTTTTCAGAACAATTACATTCTAAGAGAAAAAAATATGTATAATTTTAGATCTGACCAAAGGTTTTCCTGCTATGTCGAAATACCTGCATGAAACATCTTTATTTGTTTTAGTAATTCATAGGGCACTACGAAAAAAAAAAAAAAAACTTTTAAAAATATTTTATCAGAATTCTGACATTTTTGAAAATCGGAATACTGAGAAAATGATAACAAAAATAAATCAGGAAAAAAAATTCACAAAGAAATGTCAGAAAAAACATTAGGATTACCTTAAAAACTCTTGATATCAAAAACCCTCTGAGTTTTTGGTCATTTTTCTCAAGGTTTATTTATTTTTCTAAAGTCAGAATTCTGAGAAAATATTGTTTTTTTTCCAGCCGAAATGTCTCTAACATTCCTATGTGCTGCTGTGTGTAGATAATATTAATGTATGTAGCACTATTCCCAAGATAGGAGTGTTATTTAATAAAAAATATACACAGTTTTATTGCAGTTCGGTGGATCCGCTGCACTGACCATAACTGTTCCTCGGCAACCGTGACGTCACTCTCCTTACCAATCGCAGAGCTCGCCGGACTGTCGCTCCTCTCGCGAGATTATCACATTAGCTTGGTTAGTTAGCTAGCCGTGAAAAAACAGATTGCCCAGCTGTATTTTTACACTTTATTCTTCTTAAAAGGCACTAGGAAGACCCTGCGCGTTTCTGCTGGGATTGTGTTTGAATATCGCCCGTAGGAAAGGATCATCTCCGTGTGTTTGTACGGTGAGTTGGGAAAACGCGATGCTAAGTCACGTTAGCATCGGAGGAAACTGGTTTGTTTTGGAATCTCTTAATTATTATTTTAAAAGCCAATTAACTGCAGAAATGTCGTGTTTTTTATTTCCCTATTAATGTGGTGTTTTTATCATTATCACATGTTGATATTGTGTATCTGTATTTGTCTGTAAGGCTGTTGTTAGTGCAGATACAAGCTGTGACCGAGCTGTGTCGGGCTTCGTTTGTTTTGATTTAGTTTCCTCTTTCCAGCAGTGATGTACATATTTATTTTATATTATCTTGTGTGCTTATTTTTACTTCACGTCTCTTTGTGCATATACATCTTATTTAATATATTTTTCTTTCATTCTAATCTCTAATGAAGTTACTGTTACCAAATCCAGTATTTAAGTTTAATGTAATAAAGCATTTCTGATTCAGATTTTAGTGCAGGAGAGGTGAAAACTAAGTTCATTTACTCAAGTACTGTACCTAAGAACACATTTTGAGATACTTTTACTTTATTTGAGGATTTACATTGTATTCTACTTTGTACTTCTACTCCTCTACAGTTCAGAGGTAAATGGTGTACTTTTACTCCACTACATGTATTTAATACCTTTAGTTACTTCACAGATCTGGATGAATGATGTGAAATATAATCACGTCTTAAATCAGACTTTAGTTCCACCTGGAGTAAATTCACAAGCTACCCTGCAGTATACAAAGTCATTCAAACTAGCTGCACCTTTACCAGCTTTGAGAACACTTTCATGATCAATCATTATAAAACATATCATATATATTATTCTGAAATGGACCAATCTGCACAATGACTACTTTTACTGTTGCTACTTTAACTATATTTTGATGAGAATACTTTTCTACTTTTACTTGAGGAACATTTTGAATGCAGAACTTTTACTGTAACAGAGTATTCCTACACTCTGGTACAAGATCTGAGTACTTCTACTTTCACTCAAGTACAATATCTGAGTACTTCTACTTTTACTCAAGTACAATATCTGAGTACTTTTACTCAAGTACAAGATCTGAGTACTTCTACTTTTACTGAAGTACAAGGTCTGAGTACTTCTACTTTTACTCAATTATACTTATACTTCTACTTTTACTCAAGTACATGATCTGAGTACTTCTACTTTTACTCAAGTACAATATCTGAGTACTTTTACTCAAGTACAAGATCTGAGTACTTCTACTTTTACTGAAGTACAAGGTCTGAGTACTTCTACTTTTACTCAATTATACTTATACTTCTACTTTTACTCAAGTACATGATCTGAGTACTTCTACTTTTACTCAAGTACATGATCTGAGTACTTTTACTTTTACTCAAGTACAATTTCTGAGTACTTTTACTCAAGTACAAGATCTGAGTACTTCTACTTTCACTCAAGAACAAGATCTGAGTACTTCTACTTTTACTCAATTACAAGATCTGAGTACTTCTACTTTTACTCAATTATACTTATACTTCTACTTTTACTCAAGTACATGATCTGAGTACTTCTACTTTTACTCAAGTACATGATCTGAGTACTTCTACTTTTACTCAAGTACAATATCTGAGTACTTCTACTTTTACTCAAGTACAATATCTGAGTACCTTTACTCAAGTACAAGATCTGAGTACTTCTACTTTTACTCAAGAACAAGATCTGAGTACTTCTACTTTTACTGAAGTACAAGGTCTGAGTACTTCTACTTTTACTCAATTACAAGATCTGAGTACTTCTACTTTTACTCAATTATACTTATACTTCTACTTTTACTCAAGTACATTATCTGAGTACTTCTACTTTTACTCAAGTACATGATCTGAGTACTTCTACTTTTACTCAAGTACACGATCTGAGTACTTCTTCTATCTTCCCAGGATCCTAATAATGAGTTATGCTGAAAAGCCAGAAGACATCACGAAAGAAGAGTGGATGGAAAAACTGAACAATGTTCACATACAGAGGGCGGACATGAATCGGCTCATTATGAATTACCTGGTGACAGGTGAGGATGGACATCATTTATTATTAAGGATTCACGTAATGTGGAATTAGGATAATCCTGATTTTATTTTTGTTATTTATTCCCCTTTTGTATCAGGGAAAAAAACACATCTTTATTATACAATTAAATAACTGACCTATAATTAAGACAGCTGTTCATTACACTATATTTCAATCAGCGTACATTTAATCTAAGATCCTACTTTTAATATAAATACATGGAGGAATAGCTGCTTTAAGGCCCCGGGCACACAAGGACGATAACGGTCGCATCCGCTACAGTTCACCATCAGATAGACGGCTCGGCCACACGAGGCCCACATGGAAACGCAGATAACGATAACGATAACGGGTCCCAAGGTGGGCAGATCTGCAAACGAAACGCTCGGGTGGGAAACGGCTCCGTGTTTACGCCTCTATACGATCATTTCCTGCTGGGCTGTCAGAAGAGGGGGAGGAAAAGAGAGGCTCCGTCCTCCGTGTATTATTCTTATATTATTATATAGAGTCGTTATCAATTTGTTTTAAAGCTCAATAAATAACAAAGAAGACCTCTGACCGGCACTTTTCAAATTTTGTCCGGAAGATTTAAACTTTAACGGACATGTTGTCGAACTGAAACTCTGCCGCACGGTCCCCTCGTCCCTTGAAGAGGCGGAGAGGTGGGTGTTTTTCCTCTGCTGGTGGCAAACCGGAGAGAATTACAGCAGGAGCACATGCTTGCCTTGGGGAGGGAGAAAAAGAGCCAGAGCGTCCACAGCGGAGAATAAACAGAAGGGTAACCATGGCAACCATGTGCCAGTCTTCTTCGCTGCTTTTGTGGCAGGACTACAGCGCCACTTACAGGCCCGGCATATGTGCTACAGCGTCTCCAGCGCTTTCGAGCGGTCTCGTGTGAACGGACACGTTTCTGGTGCCTGTTGCGTGTGGACGGAAGACTTTTGATATCGATTTTTGTCCGTTTGCGTTATCGTCCTCGTGTGGCTCCAGCCTTAAACACCTTTTTAAGCTGCAATTCAACAAACTACTCGATGAGAAGACAGAAACAATTTGGATAATTTATTAATTGTTAAAATGCTGTTTTAACTCTGAGTTTTACATCATATTGAAGTGAGTATATTCTGGTTTTAGACTGACAACAGCAGACTTTAAAAAGACCTCACGTTGGACTCTGACCATCCATACATCTACAGAATAATCTGCACAACAATCAAAAATGAAAACATTAAATTGCATTTCTCAAACATTTAGAAACAAAAATAGATCTTTCTTTTACCTCTTGTGTAAAACAACATTTAGACAGAAATGAATCCAACAGAACAGATCAGTAAATTGATCTGTACATTTAAAGAATTGATCAGTAAATACCTCTCATGTCCTGATGGCTTTCAGAACAAGTTACAAGTCTGAAATCAGATGATGAATCGATGCTTTCCTGTTAATAACTGCCGATAATATCGTTTCCCACAATCCCGAATACAAAAACAAATATGTATATACCTGTATACACAATCAAAGATATGTATACATATGCACACATTAAGACCTAAATAAAAGCACAACAATCAATATATACAAAATAATAGTCACTTCAATATCTTTGAGAATGTGCATTAGTGCGAGACTGTCCATAGCAGCGTTAAAAAAAAAGTGATATCTTTGCCTCTGCCTGTCTCTGCTCTACAGAGGGGTTCAAAGAAGCGGCGGAGAAGTTTCGTATGGAGTCTGGCATCGAGCCGAGTGTGGACCTGGACTCTCTGGATGAGCGGATAAAGATCAGAGAGATGATCCTGAAGGGACAGATCCAGGAAGCCATCGCCCTCATCAACAGCCTGCACCCCGAGCTGCTGGACACCAACCGCTACCTCTACTTCCACCTGCAGGTACAGAGCCCTTTGAACATGATATATTAACGTATAAAGTGCTTTTCAGACAGACATTAAAGGGGACCTATCATGCAAAATGCACTTTTTTGATGTCTTTTATACATGTCCCCGCCTCCGGTGTGTCATTGAACTCACAAAGTGTCAGAAAATAAAACCCTCTCTCTTTTCCTCCGTACCCACATCTCTAAAAACGGGGGAACAACAGAGCTGATCCAGATTTGCGTCCGATATGACGTAATATCTGAAATGTGGGCGGGCTTTACACCCACGGCCCTATCAGAAACGTTGCTATCAGAAACAATGCGTGACGTGTTCTGGACGTAATATGGTCTGTGTTTACATTAGCAAGCGTCGCTAACACTCCGAGCTAACCTGTACTGGAGAGAGTGTGTGTGAAGAAGCAGGAAAAAATAGTTTGAGCTCCATACTGTTTCAGAAATAATCCTTGATGTGGTTTGGAACATGATGGCGTTTAATCACGGGAGCATTTAGCGGAGAATCTGCTGGTAGAATTCTGATCAGGCATTAGCTCTGCACCCTCTTTTTTTTAAGCTAAGGACCCAGAATCAGCATTTCTCTAAAAGGGCTGGAACAGAGGGATATGAGGGATTTCTAAAATGCATGATCTGTTTGGTATTTTGAGCAAAACACATCATAGACATGTTTTTGATATATTTTTTATATATCTGAGACCCATAATATATGGCTAAAAATAGCATGATAGGTGACCTTTAAACAAGATATTTAAAAAAGTCATTAAACAAACAGTTAAATACCATGATAACACTAAAATCAGTAAAAAGCACGTCAAGTATTTATCACTTCATAATGAAGAGATACCAACGTTATTGACCTGCTTATGAGTCTGGCTGCAGCATTGAGGAGGAGCAGTGAACCAACCCAGATCAAGTTAACGCATGAATTACTGTTTCTACTTTTGTAAAAAAGATAAGAATTGCATTATCAGTCAGTAATACGGATCGCAGTTTGGTTAATTAATAATGGAAGAAAGATGTGAGCCTGAGGCAGACTCCAGATATAAACCAGAACACATATCTGAACAGCAGTGACTTTAAAGGTCACCTACTATTCAAAATCCACTTCTCCATGTCTCTTCTACATCAACATGTGTCCCCTCTTCTTCATGTCTCTTCTTCATCAACATGTGTCCCCTCTTCTTCATGTCTCTTCTTCATCAACATGTGTCCCCTCTTCTTCATGTCTCTTCTTCATCAACATGTGTCCCCTCTTCTTCATGTCTCTTCTACATCAACATGTGTCCCCTCTTCTTCATGTCTCTTCTACATCAACATGTGTCCCCTCTTCTTCATGTCTCTTCTACATCAACATGTGTCCCCTCTTCTTCATGTCTCTTCTACATCAACATGTGTCCCCTCTTCTTCATGTCTCTTCTACATCAACATGTGTCCCCTCTTCTTCATGTCTCTTCTTCATCAACATGTGTCCCCTCTGTGGAAAGAGACTCTTTGGCCACTTGAGGATGTCATAACGATGTTTTGTCTTGTGTAACCATTAGCCAATCACCAACCAAGGTAACCCCCCCCCCCCACCTTATCCCCTGAATCTCCTCCTAGAACACCATTGAGTTATTTGTAACCAAATCTCTCACATGCGGCTTTCACACCAGCGCTTTTCCCTTTCTAGCTCCTAGCGAGAGCTTTTCTGGTTCAGCTCCGGTTTCCCTTTTCAGCTCCCGCTCTGTTCACACCGCCCAGAGCTGCCGAGAGATTTTCTCCCACAACAACAACGGGCCGGGGACTGCGTCGGGTCGACGATCGTGTTGCTTTTAATCATACGAAGCCAGATTAAATTAAATAACGACTTCTCCAACCTTATACTTTTCTCCAGAGTGCCGTGGTTCATTGTTTATTAATGTGTTTCAGCGGCATTTACCGACCGCTGCAGTGCTGGCCGCTCTTCCACGGGAGTTTATTCTCCCGTTAGCTCCGGGTTAGCTCACACGGCTCTAAAGTATTCACTGTCTGACTGTCACACAAGCAGCTGATACATATCCCCAGTTCCCCTTAAGTGAATGTGTGTCAGTCTGAATTGACGCTGTTTGGCATCACAACGCTGTTATGAAAGTTTCTCTGGTATAACATGGGTGATGTTAGCATAGCAACCGAAGCTAAACTGACTACATGCTAAGCCGTTTTCTACAGGCACATTTTACCGGCGTATTTTTCATTATGATTCTACTTGTGATAGTCGGACATGACAACCTGTGCAGCCCATGTATTGATTCCATCCGATAGCTGCTATAATAACAAACAAAACGTCTGCCTGCTCTCCACAATGATCAATAACAGCGAACGGATGGTCAAAGTAAGGTTTCCTGCACGCCTCGACGTAAGCGACGCCGCGTCATAGCTCCAAAGCTCTTGCCTCTGGACCGACAACTTTTTGGAGCTGGAAGTGAACCGCATTCCGGAGCTATGACGCGCCGCCGCTGCGGTGTGAACAGGAAAAACCGGCGCTTTTCAGGCTCTAGCTCCCAGCAGGAGCTGGAAAAGCGCCGGTGTGAAAGGGGCATCAGAGGGGCGTGGGGAGGGGCTCCTTATTTTCATCTAAAGTAACAGACAGAGAATCAGCACTTTGGAAACAGGGCTGAAACAGAGGGGATTATGGGTAATGCTGCAATGATCTGTTTGGTGTTTCAGCCAATCAGAGACAGGTTCTGGATATATCTGAGACCTGTGAGATATTGTTGAAACACAATAGGGGACCTTTAAGGCAGTATTGAAGTGTAGAAAGAGCTGTTTAAAACATGTGGATTAAATTGTGTCGTGATATTTCATTAAATATGGAAGTATTGTGATATTTCATTAAATATGGAAGTATTGTGATATTTCATTAAATATGGAAGTATTGTGACACTAGATAAACATGTAATTGATACCCTGCTTGCTGACTGTTCCCCCGCAGCAGCAGCATCTGATCGAGCTGATCCGTCTGAGGGAGACGGAGTCGGCCCTGGAGTTCGCTCAGACTCAGCTGGCGGAGCAGGGCGAGGAGAGCAGGGAGTGTCTGACGGAGATGGAGAGGACGTTAGCGCTGCTCGCCTTCGACAACCCCGAGGAGTCGCCCTTCGGAGACCTGCTCAACATGATGCAGCGGCAAAAGGTGCGCAGGTTTAAATAATCGCACTGATCAAAGTCAGCTTTATTACCAATATTTGACATGTGTTTATACATACAGAACATTTGAAATACCGTTTCTCGCAGTCCCACAGTATGACATATATACATATAGATAAAAGGGGTATACAACTAAGTAATAGTAGTAATAAGTACTAGGTAGTAATATATATATTTTAAAAACACAATCAACAGAACATGAATTTGACATTAGTGCAATGTGTCAAAGAGCGCTTCATTTGAGTCGTGTCCCCATGCTTTAATGTTCAAACAGACACACAGAAACTTGAGCCTTTGCAGACGCACTAACAGATATAGAACACACTACAGGAGGAGAGGGGAAACCCTTAAATAATACTCAAGGAAATACTCAAGTAAAGTAGTCCCTTTTAAAATTGTACTTGAGTAAATGTACTTGGTGTGGAGGACATTCTAATTCCCTTGAGAGAAACTGATAACTGCCTCAGGCTTTTCTAAACACCCCCACCATTAAACCATTAGCCCCCCAGTCCTTTAACCTCTTTCCCCCCCCCGTGGAATATCAGTCCTTAACACATGTCTGTTACACACAGACAAGACTAAACAATCAATTTAACAGATTAAAAACAATCAGAGTAAAAGACATAATATATGCTTATCTGTGATAATATGATAATAAATTAACATTTATTCATACAGCCCCTTTCAACACAAGGCAACTCAAAGTGCTTTACGAACATGAAAGACATTAAGAGCACATTAGAAGCAAAGATAATAAAACATGAATAACAGGTACATGAATAAAAGTTACAGAGCAGTGTGAGATGTGAATAGTTCAATTAAGAAAAGTCTTCAGCCTGGATCTAAAAGTAGTCAGAGTTGCAGCGGACCTGCAGGTTTCTGGGAGTTTGTTCCAAATATTTAACAAGACCCCTCACCAGATTCTCACATTCCTCTACCTCTAGTCTTCCTGTGAAATTAAAGTTCTTCTGACACTTTTCTAACCTTTTTATATTCCTTTCATCCTTCTCTTTCAATCATGTTGCATCCCCAGACAACACATTTCCCGTTTTACTGTTACCCAAACTATGGGCGTCGCAGCCATTATATGTCCCCCCCCCCCCCCCCCCCACCTTTTAAAATGATTAGTTTAGACCCCCCCACTTTTACCATGTAGAAAGTCCGTGCATCGGTCTCTCCACTCGCCGCTCTTTGTAGAGCGCTGTGTCAGTGCTTCATTATCAAATCCATTCCACTTGCTTATTGAGAGAAACGCCCAAATCAATGAAACTCCGTACCATGTTTTCACTGCTACTTTGTACCAAGGCAGATTCACACATGAGCCGTACACATGAGCCGCACACACGAGCCGTGCACACGAGCCGTACACACGAGCCGTACACACGAGCCGTGCACACGAGCCGTACACACGAGCCGTGCACACGAGCCGTGCACACGAGCCGTGCACACGAGCCGTGCACACGAGCCGTGCACACGAGCCGTGCACACGAGCCGTGCACACGAGCCGTGCACACGAGCCGTGCACACGCACACGAGCCGTGCACACGAGCCGTGCACACGAGCCGTGCACACGAGCCGTGCACACGAGCCGTGCACACGAGCCGTGCACACGAGCCGTGCACACGAGCCGTGCACACGAGCCGTGCACACGAGCCGTGCACACGAGCCGTGCACACGAGCCGTGCACACGAGCCGTGCACACGAGCCGTGCACACGAGCCGTACACATGAGCACAATTATGCGTGCCACAGTTTCCCCGCTGCGAGGCTCCGGCGCTAACAGTTCACGAGCGTGCTCCACTAGCACCCGGATATTATGCGCTGTTATTAAAGAGGTGGAGGAAGTTAGAGTCCAGGACCATTTGGGGCAGGGGGGAAAGGTGGGAGGCAGGGTGGAGAGTTCAGGGGAGAGATGTCAGAGGGAGGGAGAGGGGGAGAGAGTTCAGCATCCTGACCGCCTGGTGGAGGAAGCTGTTCCTCAGCCTGGAGGTGTGTGAGCTGAGGCTGAGGAACCTTCTCCCTGAAGCCAGGCGGCAGGAGAGGCTGTTGGAGGGGTGGGTGGAGTCACCCACAATGCTGAGTGCTTTGCGGGTGAGGCGGGTGTTATATATGTCCTGTAGTGATGGGAGTGAGGATATTTAAACCTGTTTTAAGACTTCCCTTGTGAATCTTTGACTTTAAAACCCTCCCCCCGTCTCTGTGTGATGTCCAGGTGTGGAGCGAGGTGAACCAGGCGGTGCTGGACTACGAGAACAGAGAGTCGACTCCCAAACTGGCGAAGCTGCTGAAGCTGCTGCTGTGGGCCCAGAACGAGCTGGACCAGAAGAAGGTCAAATACCCCAAAATGACAGACCTGAGCACGGGAACCATCGAGGACCCCAAGTGAACCCCCCCCACCCTCTAACCCCCCCCCCCCCCCCCCCCCCCCCCCCCCTTAATTTATGATCAGGCAGTGACTGTGTGACAGCCAGGTTTGTGTATAAACAGATGCTAACTTCACGTTTCATTCATGGGAGAGAAAACGCTCATTGTGCAAACTGTACATTGCTGTATTTGCAAAATAGATATTGAGTTTACTGATCCTGGATTTTGGGTTAAATCTCGGAGACGACAATTCAAATAAAGCCTAAGCTAGGAGTATTATTTATTTTGACCCTGAGACTTTATCTTACCAGAGAGCGAGATGGTGGTAACACAACAGAGGGGAGGAGAATAACGATCACTGCTTCAAATCAGAGTTTAACATTTGAGATTTCATACACAAAATGTGAGTATTTTTCAATGAAATGGAAGGAGACACTTTATTAAATGTAACATAGTTTTAATTCATATAGTATTTTATGATTTCTTGTACAATATGTCTTTTGGGATGCCTTCGTGTGAGAGAAATACGTCCTGGGTTAAAATCAGAGAACGTTTCCTCGCTGAGTTTTTAGCCCCTCCGGTTTCTTCCGAGCCGACAGTTTGCAACAAATGTGGATATTTGGTTTTGTTTTTTGGGGGGGGGGGGGGGAGTTAGGAAAGAGAGGATTTATACGGTGCTGGAGAGAAAGGGCTGCTCCGAAAAATAAAAGAGTGACGGTGCCAAAAAACGGCGACTCTGTAGTCTGAAAACTCGTTTCTTTTTGGTGCGTAATATAAAAACAAGACAGTCCCAGAACATGCTGTCCATTTTTAAAGCCGTCAGTATTTTCTCATGCATGTAAACGTTTTTTTCAACGGGGAAAAGTCTGTTGTTGTGCTTGTTTATTTTTGTTTACTTGCTGCTTTGTTGTCCATCCTTAATTTATTCTAAGGTTGTATTGTCTTTATAGATATATTGGCTTTGACAAATACTGAAACCCAGAGAGCTCACGTCCCTTTTATTATTCCACATTTTTAAAGAGCAGATTTGCAAATATTAAAATAAACAAAACTTTTGTGAACCATACGAAATGTTTTTCTCCATTTTCTGGGTGGCTTGTTTTGAGGGGAAACCCCCTGTGTTTATAATAGAGTACTGTTAGAAATATCTCCCTGGTCCCCGGCTTGAGCTTCAATCTCAGGATCCATGTATTTATGATCCTCTCCAGAATGGAAGTAGTCAAAACAAAAAAAGAGAATTTGTTAGCAGAGTAAGCATAACTTCATTGCTGTTTAGCATCCAAATAAGCGGAGGAGTAACGAAACATCAGAGACAGTGGCATTTCATTCAACGGGCCCTCCCATTGGAGGCGTGGCTTTATTTATACCCATCATTGACCTTTAACCTGTTACGCTATTGGCTTCCAGTCATGCACAACAAATAACACAAATTGGTAACATATTTACCTGAATGTTAACATATTTGGTAACCATTAGCCAATCACCAACCAAGGTGTCATCTAAAGTAACAGACAGAGAATCAGCACTTTGGAAACAGGGCTGAAACAGAGGGGATTATGGGTAATGCTGCAATGATCTGTTTGGTGTTTCAGCCAATCAGAGACATGTTCTGAATATATCTGAGACCTGTGATATATTGATGAAACACAGTATGATAGGGGACCTTTAAAACACAGGTAGTCCAGATGCTGGAACATGTGTCTATAAATAAGAAGAAGATGGATCCAGGTGGATTTCAACAATCCTGAGGGAGCCATCAGAGAAGAAGTGAGGTGAGGATCAGGACCAGAGTCTGAGTGTTTCAGAAGCTGCTGATCTCTAGACTCTTAGATTGAGTTACAGAGAATGATCCGGAAAAGGTCAAATATCCAGTGATCAGTTATCTGGGAGGAGATGCCGTGTTGAGGTCAGAGGTCAGAGGACATCTATATAGACTTTTTGCACTACTTTTTATTTTTGTATTTTATTATATATGCCTGGCACAGATCAAGTGTTTGGATCTCTATCCAAAATAAAACATCTGAACAACAAACCCTCTCCTGTCTTTACAAGGGAAATATGCAAATGTTATACATGCCCGAACAAGCTGCCTTTTCCTACTTCATATTGATGCCCAGTTTCTATCCCTTTTTATTTTGAAGGCATACATGTTACAGTATGTGTACACAGTAGTATTATAACTTTTACTTAAAAATACACAAGTTGTTTTGTTGGAGTAAATTAACTTGTACTCCAAAAGAGAAGTGGTTTCAAGTACTTTATAAAAACCTCATGACAGCTTGAAATAGCTTTGGTTAGAAGCTGCGGAAAAGTGTTTTGATCTCTATCCAAAATAAATACTCTCTTTACATAACATGTAATTAAAGGTAGGGTTGGTAAGTTTGAGTATCTCGAGCCGGTTTCTCAAACTTACCTACCCCACCTTTAAGCTGACGCAAAAACCTTTAGTAAGAGCAAAAACCATGAAGATTCAAACTCAGAACACCAAGCAAAGGTCAGATGTATTCACTTGCAGCTAATCATACCAGAGTAAGAGCTGGTGCCTCAGCTACAGGGCCAAGATGAACTGCATTGTATCGCCACGGTACGATGGAAACAGCTGGGTTTCAGTCTGCAGAGTTTCTGCTGTCCAGATGTCATGGAGAGCTCTTTCCACCGTTTAGGAGCCAGCAGAGGTGAGAGGTAGTGGAGTACAAATACTTTGTTACTGTACTCAAGCACATTTTTCTGGTATCAGTACTTTACTCCACAACTTATTTTTCTGACGACTTTTTAATTTGACTTCTCACATGTTGAACACAAATACCTGTACTTTCTACTTCTCACATGTTGAACACAAATACCTGTACTTTCTACTTCTTACATGTTGAACACAAATACCTGTACTTTCTACTTCTTACATGTTGAACCCAAATACCTGTACTTTCTACTTCTTACATGTTGAACCCAAATACCTGTACTTTCTACTTCTCACATGTTGAACACAAATACCTGTACTTTCTACTTCTTACATGTTGAACCCAAATACCTGTACTTTCTACTTCTTACATGTTGAACACAAATACCTGTACTTTCTACTTCTTACATGTTGAACCCAAATACCTGTACTTTCTACTTCTTACATGTTGAACACAAATACCTGTACTTTCTACTTCTTACATGTTGAACACAAATACCTGTACTTTCTACTTCTCACATGTTGAACACAAATACCTGTACTTTCTACTTCTTACATGTTGAACACAAATACCTGTACTTTCTACTTCTTACATGTTGAACCCAAATACCTGTACTTTCTACTTCTTACATGTTGAACCCAAATACCTGTACTTTCTACTTCTCACATGTTGAACACAAATACCTGTACTTTCTACTTCTTACATGTTGAACCCAAATACCTGTACTTTCTACTTCTTACATGTTGAACACAAATACCTGTACTTTCTACTTCTTACATGTTGAACCCAAATACCTGTACTTTCTACTTCTTACATGTTGAAACCCAAATACCTGTACTTTCTACTTCTCACATGTTGAACACAAATACCTGTACTTTCTACTTCTTACATGTTGAACCCAAATACCTGTACTTTCTACTTCTTACATGTTGAACACAAATACCTGTACTTTCTACTTCTTACATGTTGAACCCAAATACCTGTACTTTCTACTTCTTACATGTTGAACCCAAATACCTGTACTTTCTACTTCTCACATGTTGAACCCAAATACCTGTACTTTCTACTTCTCACATGTTGAACACAAATACCTGTACTTTCTACTTCTCACATTTCCCAAACAGGCTGGTTCCTTTAGTTTGAATGTGTGTCTGGTGGCGTGATCATTATTATTTAGAGTCATTGCGTGCCTATTGATTTGAACACGATCCGTGTATCCATCATTTCCTGGTCTTCTCTAAAGAAGAGGGACCAATGAAAACGTTGTCATGTTGCCGTTGTTCAGCATGGAAACATTCATTAGCTAACAATGACATTATTGTTCTATTAATATAAAGGGAGGTCAGGTACTCTTTAAAACAGCTGCTAGTTATGGGTACTTTTTACTGAAGTACATTTCAAAGCCTCTTTACTTTGACTTGAGTAAAGAAGTTTAGTCAGTACTTCTACTTTGACCAGAGTACTTTAAACACGAGTATCTGTACTTCTCCTTGAGTAAAGATGTGTGTACTTTGCCCTCTCTGATATACAGCAGAGCTTCCTGTCCTCTACTGGGGAAATATTCAAATGTTCTTCCTCTCTGTGAAACCTCCTGCAAATCACGAGCAGCTTCTCTTTCTGGGTTTTGTTTCAACAAGTTGTACCTGTTTGTCCTGCCAGTGAGAGGAAGAGGAGGAGGAGGAGGAGGAGGAAGACGGGGAGGGAGAGCTGAAGTACTCTCAGAGCGGATCAGACACTGAAGGAAACACTGATCTGATCACATGGAGGACAGACACACGGCCAGAGACGGCAGGAAACACCTGAGCTATCCTCAGCTGGATTGTGAGATGTATGGAGGACGTGTTTCCAGCGGAGAGGACAGGAAGCTGTGGCCCAGGTGAGACCCAGAGAACACTGCAGGCTCTGGAACAGGAATCTAAAACATGTGGAAACAGCCGCTTAACATGACATGGTTCTTAAAATGAGTTAGTCATTGTGAAATAATGCTTCTGGCTGCTACTTCACTTTTATAGGTTCACTTACTTTTAAAATACTGCCCCTTACTTTGTTTATCTTTGATTTGTACTTACTTTATTTTACGGTCGTACTGCTGCATTACAGTATGAACCCTGTAGAAGCAGATTACTAGTTTTACATTTGAGTTGTTTTTATATATTGTGACACTGACAGATAGTTATGGTCCCCAGAGGATGAATAACATTTACTTTGGTAATCCTTTGAGTCTCAAATATCTCCATTTCTTTCTCTTTGGAAAGACACGTTGCAATAAGCTGTTTTTAAAGGATGTGTTTTTAAATCTGACTTGAGCCACAGACAAAGATTGTAAAACTGCAAATACAAGAGCTTTTACCAGAGGATCAGTGTATCTATATATACACAGTATATAGAGGCTTCATAGCTTTTCAACATGTTAATGCTTCCAATACTATCAGCCTTGTCTACTTTGAGTTTAGTGCTACTGAGCAAATAATAGGTGGTAAACATGGTGAACATAATACCTGCTGAATATTTGCATACAGGCGTTATCAGGAAGAAAAACAGCGGTATTTCAATACCCTCTTCACGCAACAGTAACCAACAGCAGAAGGGCATAAACTTGTTCCCTTTGAAGATCCAAACTGAAACTTAATGGAGGGGTATCAGCCAAACAAAACCGCCTATTGTATTTAATTGTATTGTTAAAATGCTAAATGGTACTCACATAATTAAGCATTAAGGATCCTACATACAGTATAGCATACAATTCTACGTATTTCAGTATTATGACTTACCAACAAATATAAAACAATATAAAATGTCGCAATAATTCACAAGTTGGGCTGAATTGAGCCATAAAGTGAGCTTATTTTGGAGCCTGCACTGCACATTCTTAAGGAGGCCGTTGTGAACCAATGGAAAGTCCCCAATGTTTAAATAGCCACTGTTTGTTTTCCCCATGCAAAACCAAAGTCACTTCATGTTTTTCTTGTGTAGCATGCAAACCCTGTGTTGCAGATAAATAAATGATCCTTTAATATTTGAATAGTGACCGTGTAGCATGCTGGTGTTAGCATTTGGCTCAGAGCACTGCTGGGAGAACAGACTGTTGTTTCAGTAGCAGTTGATGTTACCGGTTTGGCCCTTGTGTCTCTACATGCACTGCAAACATGTAAAATTGCCAAGTATATTTGTCTAATTTCTAGTCAGAATATGTCGTTACACTTGATATAAGACTTAATAACTTCAGTCTTGTTTTTAGACCAGGCATCTTAAGCATCTTATTAAGTCAAAGTCTCTTAAAAACATCTTATTTTAGAGGAAAATCTCCAACTAACATCAGAAAACAGAAAATGTCTAAAGCATTTCTGGCTTTTTTTGTTACAAATTCCCTGATTCTCGTCAAATGTAGTTCAAAATAAGTTTTCCCAGCTAAATACAAGATCTCATTTATTTAATTATCCCATCTTTACTTAAGTCATTTTGTTCTTTTAGCAGATTTGTTCACTTATTAAAAGCGAAAACACCTTGTTTTCATTATATATTTACTTGTTTTTGGAGCAGCATTTTTTCCAGTGTGTGTATATTGGTTTTCACCAGGACGCAAAAATGATCCACGTCAATTATTAAAACCGGTTTCCCTTCATGTTTATAAGGTGTCTGTATTAAAGGTCCGTGCTGCATTAGACACGGTCTTCCATTAAATAATTAGTTTGACTGGAAAAACTTTAAAGAGTCCTCTCCTGCTGATGTTCAGGTGTATATCAGTATGTAGTGTCTCTACTTAAAGAGTCCTCTCCTGCTGATGTTCAGGTGTATATCAGTATGTAGTGTCTCTACTTTAAAGAGTCCTCGCCTGCTGATGTTCAGATGTATATCAGTATGTAGTGTCTCTACTTTAAAGAGTCCTCTCCTGCTGATGTTCAGGTGTATATCAGTATGTAGTGTCTCTACTTTAAAGAGTCCTCTCCTGCTGATGTTCAGGTGTATATCAGTATGTAGTGTCTCTACTTTAAAGAGTCCTCTCCTGCTGATATTCAGGTGTATATCAGTATGTAGTGTCTCTACTTTAAAGAGTCCTCTCCTGCTGATGTTTCATGTGTATATCAGTATGTAGTGTCTCTACTTTAAGAGTCCTCTCCTGCTGATGTTCAGGTGTATATCAGTATGTGTCTCTACTTTAAATAGTCCTCTCCTGCTGATGTTCAGTTGTATATCAGTATGTAGTGTCTCTACTTTAAAGAGTCCTCTCCTGCTGGTGTTCAGGTGTATATCAGTATGTAGTGTCTCTACTTTAAAGAGTCCTCTCCTGCTGATGTTCAGGTGTATATCAGTATGTAGTGTCTCTACTTTAAAGAGTCCTCTCCTGCTGATGTTCAGGTGTATATCAGTATGTAGTGTCTCTACTTTAAAGAGTCCTCGCCTGCTGATGTTCAGATGTATATCAGTATGTAGTGTCTCTACTTTAAAGAGTCCTCTCCTGCTGATGTTCAGGTGTATATCAGTATGTAGTGTCTCTACTTTAAAGAGTCCTCTCCTGCTGATGTTCAGGTGTATATCAGTATGTAGTGTCTCTACTTTAAAGAGTCCTCTCCTGCTGATATTCAGGTGTATATCAGTATGTAGTGTCTCTACTTTAAAGAGTCCTCTCCTGCTGATGTTCATGTGTATATCAGTATGTAGTGTCTCTACTTTAAAGAGTCCTCTCCTGCTGATGTTCAGGTGTATATCAGTATGTGTCTCTACTTTAAATAGTCCTCTCCTGCTGATGTTCAGTTGTATATCAGTATGTAGTGTCTCTACTTTAAAGAGTCCTCTCCTGCTGGTGTTCAGGTGTATATCAGTATGTAGTGTCTCTACTTTAAAGAGTCCTCTCCTGCTGATGTTCAGGTGTATATCAGTATGTAGTGTCTCTACTTTAAAGAGTCCTCTCCTGCTGATGTTCAGGTGTATATCAGTATGTAGTGTCTCTACTTTAAAGAGTCCTCTCCTGCTGATGTTCAGGTGTATATCAGTATGTAGTGTCTCTACTTTAAAGAGTCCTCTCCTGCTGATGTTCAGGTGTGTATCGGTATGTAGTGTCTCTACTTTAAAGAGTCCTCTCCTGCTGATGTTCAGTTGTATATCAGTATGTAGTGTCTCTACTTTAAAGAGTCCTCTCCTGCTGATGTTCAGGTGTATATCAGTATGTAGTGTCTCTACTTTAAAGAGTCCTCTCCTGCTGATGTTCAGGTGTATATCAGTATGTAGTGTCTCTACTTTAAAGAGTTCTCTCCTGCTGTTGTTCAGGTGTATATCAGTATGTAGTGTCTCTACTTCAAAGAGTCCTCTCCTGCTGATGTTCAGGTGTATATCAGTATGTAGTGTCTCTACTTTAAAGAGTCCTCTCCTGCTGATGTTCAGGTGTATATCAGTATGTAGTGTCTCTACTTTAAAGAGTCCTCTCCTGCTGATGTTCAGGTGTATATCAGTATGTAGTGTCTCTACTTTAAAGAGTCCTCTCCTGCTGATGTTCAGGTGTCCTTTAAATAACTTGGAATACTTCTTGTCTTTAGGTAACAACACATCTGATTATACAAATATGACTAGAGGAGTTCCTCAAGGCTCCATCCTGGGGCCTCTTGTCTTTAACATATACAAGCTTTCACTTACGTAGATTTAAAAACAACAACAAATGATGTTATTTCATGCAGATGACACACAAATGTCCAACCATCTTGCCAGGGAACTGTGGTTCATTACAAGCACTGAGCAAATGCATTGAACAAATCGATGTGTCCGAACCATCTTTAATTAAACAGACAAATGATTGTTATCGGAGCCAACGAGGTGTGATTAAAAGCCACAGACAGGCCCAGAAGTCTAGGTGTAGTCAAAGACTCAGACATCAATTTCAGCAGACGAGTCATCCTACTATTACCTGACCGATATATCCAGGATTGAAGATAGCTTGTGTCAGCAGGATTTGGAAAAACGTGTCCATGCATTTATCTTCAGTAGACTAGTCGACAACTGTTGTGTTTTGGGGGATTTGAGGTCTTTGCACCAACTTCCTGTCTGTCAAATTTACTTCAAAAATACTACCGTTTGTCTTTTATGATCCATATAAATAGTTAATGGACTGTACTTATATATCTCTTTATCAGTTCTCTTCGACCGCTCAAAGCTCTTTACATACTACGAGTCATTCACCCATTCACACCTCATTCATGCAGAGCAGCACCATTTGCTCTAGGGAAGCTATCACACACACACACACACACACACACACACACACACACACACACACACACACACACACACACACACACACACACCACACACACACACACACACACACACACACACACACACACACACACACACACACACACACTGTATTGGCTGGGATCGAACCAACAACCTGCTGATTGAAAGACGACCGCACTCCCTCTCAGCCACAGTCGCCCATATATCTGGAACAAACAAACTCCCAGCATGTAATGGACATTGCTCTTCATGTTGTGTGCATCTTTTGCAAAAGATTAAAGAACCAGAAAGACATCTCTTTGATTAGTTAATATCAAGAATTTCCACCATAAGCATTGTAACTTTTATTATTTTTATACACATTTTTTGTAAAACACTTTGATGTTACCTCTTGTTGAGATGTGCTTTACAGATAAATGTTCCCTACCTTGCAGACCTCTGGCTCAGAAGTGGACGGTGATGCTGTTTTTGGGAACGTGCCTGCTGTTCTGCTCCCGCATGGCGATGCCCATCTGCTCCGTGTCCATGGCCGCCACCTTCCACTGGAGCAAGATCGACTCGGGTCTGGTTCTGGGGGGATTCTTCTGGGGCTACTGCTTCACTCAGATCCTGGGAGGACACGCCAGTGACAAGTAGGGAATTAAGACTTCAAATGATAAGATGAGATTCACTTTATTGAGCTTACATTGGGACATCAGCAGCATGTTAAAACAAGGCAGTGCACATCATTTGAAAAATTACGGAAGAGGATTAGGGCCACATGAAAAGAAAAAAATACAGTACATATTCTCAGAAAAAAAGGCCTATATTCAGGAGAATCTAAACATTATAAAATATACAGAATACATTAGAATACTCTTTAATAAACCAATCACAGAAGGGGATATGGTGCACAGAGTTATTGCAGTAGGCAGGAATGATTTCATGTACATCTTTTTGATAACCTCTTCTCTGTGTGTTGCCTCAGGGTGGGAGGGGAGCGCGTCCTCTTCGTCTCGGCCGCCTCCTGGGCTCTGATCACAGCTGTGACTCCTCTGCTGGCTCATTTAGGATCTCACACCCTCGCTCTCATGACCCTCGCCAGGTTCCTCATGGGACTCACACAGGGTGAGTACTGTTCACGTTATAGGGAGATACCAAGACCTCCACTAAGTCTGTTTGCACACACACATTAAAGGAAGTGGAAAGAGACTCTGAAAGTTTCAGGAACAAAGATTCTCTCTCTTTTTGTCCTGATCCATTTCTATAAAAACCTGTCTGAAAATGAGCTGATCACATTTGGGCCACTTTATGATGTCATAACGATGTTTTGTCTTGTGTAACCATTAGCCAATCAGCACCCAGGTAACCCCCCCCCCCCCCCCCCCCCCCCCCCCCCCCCCCCCCCCCTTATCACCTGAATCTCCTCCTAGAGCACCATTGAGTTCTTTGTAACCAAATCTCTCTCAGAGGGGCGTGGGGAGGGGCTCCTTATTTTCATCTGAAGTAACAGACAGAGAATCAGCACTTTGGAAACAGGGCTGAAACAGAGGGGATTATGGGTAATGCTGCAATGATCTGTTTGGTGTTTCAGCCAATCAGAGACAGGCTCTGTATATATCTGAGACCTGTGATATATTGATGAAAAACAGTATAATAGGGGACCTTTAATACACACAATGTTTACAATTATGTTGTCTTTCATTACTGTACATATTTTATTCCAATTTTATTTCCACGATTTCAATCATATTCATACTGCTATAATTTACTGTATTTTTTTTAATTGTTATTACAGTTTTCTTCAAATAGTTTTCTGTGTTTTTAATTTTGTTAAATTCCTCGTATGTGTTAACCTACTTGGTAATAAACCTATTTCTGATTCTGATTTCCATCAGTGACGGATAATGGGTGTTCCTGCCATGAAATAGGGATCCTATTGAATCAGAATTCCTCTATTCGTCCCAAAGAGGGGACATTTAGAAAGTTACAGCAAAGAGACAATAATGATACAGACAAGATCAAAACAGTATTTAGAAAAGTGGCATGCACACACATTATCTAACATCTAATAATAATGACACTCCAAGTAGCAGCATTACAGTATACACGTGAGTGAAACAAGTAGAAAGTATTGAAGTAGCTGCAGGATGACAGTAGTAAATACTATGATTACTGGTATTTAAGTATGTATTGCACACTGGTGTATTACATCATTGTTGGTATAGGTGTTAGCTGAATATGTTCTTCCTTGTTCTGAGCTTCATCCTTCCTTATCAATTAAACTTGTATCCCTAATGTGAGAGTGAAAGCGTCCCATTTCTCTGTTTTGTTGATTGTAATACGAGCTTGACTGTATGAATGATGATATCTGAGGAAACTGAGTGTGTAACGTAATGTCTTATAGGAGTTTTTTTTCCGTCTTTGGCCAGCCTCTGCTCTCAGAGAGTTCTGGAAGGAGAGAGAGGATTTATGATTAGCGCCATGAACAGTGGGGCAAATCTGGGGTAACACACACACACACACACACACACACACACGCACACGCACACGCACACGCACACGCACACGCACACGCACACGCACACACACACACACAGTGGTGGAAAGTACTTAATTGCATTTACTCATGTGCTGTACTTAAGTACTTTTTTGACATACTTCCATGTAATGCTACTGTGTACTTCTACTGCATTACATTTATTTCACTTTCATAGTTACTTTGTACATGCAAAACTATAATACTGAATAGATTATTACATCTATAAATACGGATAAAATAAAAACTAGGTTTAAAATAATAAGACACTGCCATAAGTACTCATTCTGCATAATGAGTACTTTTACTTTTGATAATTGAAGTACAAAGCTAATAACACTTTTGTACTTTTATTTACGTAAAAATGTGGTTTCAGTGGAAACCTTTACTTGTAGTGGAGTATTTTAAAACCATAGTATTTGTACTTTTACTAAAGTAACGGATCTGAGTACTTCTTCTAACACCACCCACACCCATCCACACCCACACCCACACCCACGCACACGCACACACCCACACACACACACACACCCACATACACACACACACACACATACACACACACACACCCACATACACACACACACCCACATACACACACACACACACGCACACACCCACACCCACACCCACACCCACATACACACACACCCACGCACACACCCACACACACACACACACACACACACACTCCATGTCTGACGGCTTTCTGCTGCTGTCTCAGGGCTCTGACGGCGGGGGGGATGGGCTCTCTGATGCTGGAGGAGTACGGCTGGGAGAGTTTGTTTTACAGCATCGGAGCTCTGGCCGGACTCTGGGCTCTCGTCGTCTGGCTGTGTTTACTGAAAGGTACAGAACCTACACTCCCAGAATGCAACAGGACAACAGGTCGTCTATTGTTGTTGTGTCGCGGCTCTAATTGACCTGTTTTGAATGTTATCGTCCCGCTGAACGCCCGTTATCGCCCACATTCAAATACTTCAGACGGGACAAACTGCATGTTGCAGAAGTGAAACTTAAAGAGGAGCTTCGCCATTTTAAACCTGGTCTTTATATTCAGAAAAGGTCTGTTTGGGATCAAATGAAGATGATTGTTGAATGCATTATTACTAAGTTGATTGAGTGATTCATGTGATCCATGCACCCAATTGTGTTTGATTGGAAGGGCTGAAAAAAGACACAAGACATCAACAACAACAAAATATTTACAACTGGATTTTCTGCATTTTTCATTTATGGAACAAGACTGTTTTAGTTTTTGTGTCCGATGCCAACATACACACCGAGAAGCGGCTCTGTGTCTGGGGGTTAATGAACATATACTTATATACTTATATTCCCGTGCCTTCATACATTTTCCAGTTTTCCAGCAATGGCGGACCGGGCAAACAAAGATTGTCTTCCCTTATTTTATTTATTTGAAGTGGACCTATCATGCTATATTTGAATAATATAGTGTAGGACCATACCTATATAAGGCATATTTATACTTTTTTTTTTTCAAAATACCAAACAGATCATGCATTTTAGCCATGCCTCATTTTGCTCAATTTGACATTTTTTAGCTCTGTTTTAGCAAGGGCAGATTCAGTGAGAACAGCACCACTTACAGGCCTGGCATATGTACTACAGCGTCTCCAGCGCTTTCGAACGGCAATGTCCGTGGCTGTCTCCTCCTGATTGGTGGAGTTGGCCCAATAGCCGTAGCGCCACCGTCCTGACGTCAGGACAGTGTTCAAATCTGGATCAGTTTTTATCAGATCCGTTGCAGCCCCTTTTTTTAGAGATTTGGGTATGGAGGAAAATAGAGAGGGTTGTGTTTTCTGACACTTGGTGAGTTCCCTGGAACACCGGAGACACATATTCATGTAGAAAAGACGTACAAAAGTGCATTTTCCATGATAGGTCCCCTTTAAGTAATTGTTTTTCTCCTTTAACAAAATGTATGTGTCCAATGATTGGCATGAATCTGTAAACCAAACGTTTGGCTAGTTTCACAGAGCGAGAAATACACAGGTTGAAAACACCAATTGTTAGGCTTAGTCCAAACATGCTGTGTACATGCATGAAGACAACAATTAACAACAACTGTCTTTTTAAATATCAATTTTTCTAATTCAAAGAGTGCTGCGTACAAGTCTAACAGATTATCCTAAAGTACAACAAAATGCAACATGAACTTGTTTTAAAATACAAAATATCTTTCAATAAAAGCCTCAAAATATTCAGATTATCCAAATTAAATATGCTGTCTCCATGTCCCCTATCAAATTCAGAATAATGTAATATCACATCCTGGGGAATATATATGTTATCATATGTGTTATTATTTAAATTACATTTCCAGTCTGTTGTAAATAGTTGTTTACTTCATCACACTTCCTGTTGTTGTTGCTGCATGATAAACAGTGCAATGATTTTCATGATACACAGTGTTATGTTGTGTTTTTCCTCATGCATCTCATTCATTGATGTGTGTTTCAGGAGTAGAAGTACCCCCGAGGCAGAAGGACCCGAAAGACCCTCAGTGGAGTTTATCCAGATGGCTGAGTCTCGTCAAGAAGCCGCCCGTCTGGTACGGCTTTATATACTTTATTTACTTTCTGCAGAGGTGTCAAGTCACTAAGTAGATTTACTCAAGTACTTAAGTACACGTCTAAGGTACTTGTACTTTACTTGAGTATTTCCATTGTATGCTGTTTTGTACTTCTCCTCCACTACATGTATTTAATCCCTTTAGTTACTTTACAGATGTGGATGAATGATGTGAAATATAACCAAGTGTTAAATCAGACTTTAGTTCCACCTGGAGTAAATCCACAAGCTACCCTGCAGTATACAAAGTCATTCAAACTAGCTGCACCTTTACCAGCTTTGAGAACACTTTCATGATCAATCATTATAAAACATATCATATATATTATTCTGAAATGGACCAATCTGCACAATGACTACTTTTACTGTCGCTACTTTAACTATATTTTGATGAGAATACTTTTCTACTTTTACTTGAGGAACATTTTGAATGCAGGACTTTTACTGTAACAGAGTATTCCTACACTCTGGTACACTCAAGTACAAGATCTGAGTACTTCTACTTTTACTCAAGTACAAGATCTGAGTACTTCTACTTTTACTCAAGTACAAGATCTGAGTACTTCTACTTTTACTGAAGTACAAGATCTGAGTACTTCTACTTTTACTACAAGATCTGAGTACTTCTACTTTTACTCAAGTACAAGATCTGAGTACTTCTACTTTTACTCAAGTACAAGATCTGAGTACTTCTACTTTTACTCAAGTACAAGATCTGAGTACTAGTAGTAGTTTTATATTTGTTGTGAGTTTATAACCTCTCTTTCCCTCCTTCCTACAGGGCCATGATCTTCGCCCACATGTGTCATAGCAGCTCTTCGTGCACTTTATTATCCTGGTTGCCGACGTACTTTAAAGAATCGTTTCCACACGCCTCGGTATTTGTTATTATCCACTGTGTTCAGCCAGTAATCTCTACACTAGACTCTTCACGCTGACAGTCACTAACGTGTGCTCTCTTGCAGGGCTGGGTGTACAACGTGGTGCCGTGGGCTGTTGCCATCCCATCAGCACTGGCAGGAGGGTATTTCTCAGATGTTCTAATACGCCAAGGTATTATATTATGATTATATTTGTTTTGTTTCTGTTCAGATTTTATGTAAAGTGTCTTTGAGCTTTAGGAAAAGTGCTATAAAAATCCCATGTATTATTATTATTGAACAAGTGTTATTTTTTTGTATTATGTGCATTTGGAGGCGAGTTACTGTACCTTTCATACAGAAACATTAAAGTTCACATTTCTTTTTTCCTCTGTAGGATATGGTGTCTCGTTGGTGAGAAAGATAATGCAGGTAAGTCGAATAAATATATAGGTTTTTAGTGCATGAACATGGTCTGCAAAGGCTCAAATCCCTGTGTTCCCTTTCTCCAAAACAATAAATGTTCACAAAAATAACTATTTGACAATAGTTTTAAAAAGTATAAACAAAGTGAGACCAAAGTTGATGAAAAAAATAATAAACAACATCTTGGTCCCTGGTCTCCCTTAGTTCCTTTGTGTGTGCGTGTGTGTGTGTGTGTGTGTGTGTGTGTGTGTGTGTGTGTGTGTGTGTGTGTGTGTGTGTGTGTGTGTGTGTGTGTGTGTGTGTGTGTGTGTGTGCGCGTGTGTGTGTGTATGTGTGCGTGCGTGTGTGTGATGAAGCTCTGTTGTGATTGGCTGCTGCTGCTGAGGTGGAATTTCTGTGAGATTTTTAAACGTGTAATAACAAGTTTCTCCTGAGGTGTGTGTCTCTGTCAGCCTCTGAGCACCAAGGAGAAGTGTGTGTGTGTGTGTGTGTGTGTGTGTGTGTGTGTGTGTGTGTGTGTGTGTGTGTGTGTGTGTGTGTGTGTGTGTGTGTGTGTGTGTGTGTGTGTGTGTGTGTGTGTGTGTGTGTGGTGTGTGTGTGTGTGTGTGGTGTGTGTGTGTGTGTGTGTGTGTGTGTGTGTGTTGTGTGTGTGTGTGTGTGTGTGTGTGTGTGGTGTGTGTGTGTGTGTGTGTGTGTGTGTGTGTGTGTGTGTGTGTGTGTGTGTGTGTGTGTGTGTGTGTCAGTAATTATATAAAAAGCAGTTTCAACTCTAATGACGAAAACACATGAATCAAAAAATCAACCAGAGGTGGGAGAAGTACTCAGATCTTGTACTTCAGTAAAAGTAGAAGTACTCAGATCTTGTACTTCAGTAAAAGTAGAAGTACTCAGATCTTGTACTTCAGTAAAAGTAGAAGTACTCAGATCTTGTACTTGAGTAAAAGTAGAAGTACTCAGATCTTTTAACTCTAATTACGAAAACACATCTAAATATGAATTGACAGGAAGTGCATTATTGTACATTTTAAGATTCTGATAATTGCCTTTTTTTAAATATTTGTCCTGCTCATTCCCCCCTCAGTTCTTTGCCATGGGCGTCTCCAGTATGTTCATCATCTTGCTGTCTGGAGACGTCTCCTTTCTCTCGGCTGTCACCTTCATCTCTGCTGCCATCGGTCTGAGCAACTTCTCCAGCGGGTACGTTATTAAAAATACATTCTGTCTGTGTTTAAAATGTGAACTCTCAATGATCTCTCATGCATTTTAAAGACAAGTCAATGAAATGTGAATAAGGTAATATGTAAAGATGATGCCGGGGTTTTTCACATCTGTGTTAGTCAAAAATCCCCATGATATAATATATCTTTATTTTCATCATACGAAGTACAACAACATTTATTTGGCAACTCTCACGGGCCGTCTCCACGGCAGCGTTAAAAAAATCTTGGAGGTGGGCGTATCTGAGGCTTGGGGATTTTTTTGCGATCAACCAATCACATGAATCTCCCGCCCGCGACATATGAAGCCAAAAAGCCCGAAGTAAACTGGATATAAACTCCCCAAAACAGGCGAAAACATACCACTGTCTCTGCCACCTCCCTCCATGCCTGGCTCCTCCGGTTTATATCCCGGTAGGTCTGGTCATAAAGCACCGGGTGATTGATTCGCTACCGCTAATTTCTCCTCCATGTTTTGGAATATGAGGAAATGACCTGCGGTCTGTCTCTCCCAGCATACACGTCGTTTGATTGGCTAGAGCTTGAACTGTCAGATTTGCGTACACGGGATTTGATTGGCTGACGCTTCCTCCTCAGCTTCAAAAGTTGAACATTGTTCAACTTTGGATCTTGAAAATCCTGAGAATCTCCGCTCGCCTGCCCACAATGCATTTCGGCGAAAGCGAAAAAAAGTGACGTCACCCCATTCAAAGTGAATGGGCAGAAGCGTTTCAAGATTTTTTAACGCTGCCGTGGAGACGGCCCGTCACTGCAGTAAAAACATAGACACAAATAAATAAGAGCGGTAAAAGCAGAGGTCGTAGCGATGACAGTGCAACGAGATAAGATTCAATGTCAATGTGCATATTTACACTTACTGTCTAAAAACGTTAAATCTACAAAACTGTATAAATATATTGTATTTCTGAAAAAGACCAATATTTCCCGAATCTCACCTTTAAATAAATAATGTAATGTTTTTTTGTAGTCACTACCATAATCACACTGCATACATGTCAATACAATTCATTATTATTTAAACACAAAAACGAGTTCATTGTATTAACTTATTAGCTCTCTTTGTAATGGTTGTATGAATAATGGTGCACAGGGTATCTCTATGGCACAGTTTACAATACTGGTTGATAGGATATTCATGTTGGATTTTGTATTTTCATTTCATAGGATTTGCTCAAAATAATGTTTATAAGTAATAAATATAAGTGGTAGTAGTAGTAGCGGTAGCAGTAGTGGTAGCAGCTAGCGGTAGCAGTAGTAGTAGTAGCAGTAGCAGTAGCAGTAGCAGTGGTGGTAGTAGTGGTAGCGGTAGCGGTAGCGGTAGCAGTGGCAGTGGTAGTGGCAGCAGTAGCAGCAGCAGTAGCAGTAGCAGTAGCAGTAGCAGTAGTAGCAGTAGCAGTAGAAGTAGCAGCAGTAGCAGTAGCAGTAGAAGTAGCAGCAGTAGCAGCAGCAGTAGTAGCAGTAGCAGTAGCAGCAGTAGCAGTAGCAGTAGAAGTAGCAGCAGTAGCAGTAGCAGTAGCAGTAGAAGTAGCAGCAGTAGCAGTAGCAGTAGCAGTAGTAGCAGTAGCAGTAGCAGTAGAAGTAGCAGTAGTAGCAGTAGCAGTAGCAGTAGAAATAGCAGCAGTAACAGTAGCAGTAGCAGTAGCAGCAGTAGCAGTAGAAGTAGCAGCAGTAGTAGTAGTAGCAGCAGTAGCAGTAGTAGCAGTAGCAGTAGCAGTAGAAGTAGCAGCAGTAGCAGTAGCAGTAGCAGTAGCAGCAGTAGCAGTAGAAGTAGCAGCAGTAGCAGTAGCAGTAGTAGCAGTAGTAGCAGCAGTAGCAGTAGCAGTAGAAGTAGCAGCAGTAGTAGTAGTAGCAGCAGTAGCAGTAGTAGCAGTAGCAGTAGCAGTAGTAGTAGTAGCAGTAGCAGTAGCAGTAGAAGTAGCAGCAGTAGTAGTAGTAGCAGCAGTAGCAGTAGTAGCAGTAGCAGTAGCAGTAGTAGTAGTAGCAGTAGCAGTAGTGGTAGTAGTGCACTACTACCGCTACTGCTACTACTACCACTACCATGGTAGTGGTAGTAGTACTGTAGTAGTAAACATGATGATTTATATGTGTTTCAGTGGTGTGACGGTGAATGTGCAGGATCTGAGCCCCTCGTGTGCCGGAGCCCTCTACGGTCAGTGTACTCTTAGATATTTAGAAGTTTAGTAGTTATAATACCAGGGAATAAGTACACTGTAATGAATACAGCCTCTGCATTAAAAAAGTAATTGGCCCATTTCCTATTATTGAGATGTGATTATTGATGCATTAATGTGGAGATTATTCACTTTCACTGCCGGGTATCATGTGAATTAAACCAATAAGGGATCAATTAACGTTTAGCTTTCTCTATAATAAAACCTCATAGTAGATTTGTTGATTATAGCCCGTCAGTAATGGTATTAAAAAAATGAAGTAAAGAGTCAAGTATTTGCCTCTGAGATGTGATGAAAATAGAAATACTCAAGTACAAGTAACTTACAATTTTACTGGTGGCTGTTTACATTGCATAAACCTCTAGTGTTTGTTTTTGTTTGTTTCTACAGGTTTCATGAATATGATGGGAGCTTTCATGGGTATGTTTAATATGACTTTTATCTATCTGTAATATATGTAAAGTCTACAGTCTCTTGTCCTTCGAATCGATGTATCACAAATATAAAACAATATTATAATCAGAGGTGGGAGAAGTGCTCACATCTTATACTTGAGTAATACTCTGTGACAGTAAAAGTCCTGCATTCAAAATGTTACTCAAGTAAAAGTAGAAAAGTATTATCATCAACATATAGTTAAAGTCCCCAGCTACTGTATGGATCTCTAAAATATTGTATATTGTTAGAAAAATGTCACTCGTCCCCGGCTTGAGCTTCAACCTCAGGATCCATGTATTTGTGATCCTCTCCAGAATGGAAGTAGTCATCACATACAGAGCATCAACTAGTTCCTGAACAGTGTCCTTCACATGCTGATATCCAAGAGAGGGAGTTACACAGTCACAAGATGGAGGAATAGAAAGCAGTATTCAATGTTTACTTCAGATTAGCTCCACGTCAGAAATGAGCATGCTTGTCATATGTCTATCTCCATAGAGGCTGAATCATCATGTTAATCACATAGCTATCATATGCCTCAAACAGTCCTGATGCTCTTCTAGGTAATCATACATCCTGTCATGTACTCAGCTACAGTTGGGATACCTTTGTTATCATGTCACTCTGATATTGGAAGAGGACATTCAGTATTTTCCCAACAGATATAATATATAATGTGTGTTTCTTGTCTCAGGCCTGGTGTTTGTGTCTCTGTCTGGTTTCCTGATCGAGGTCACGCTCTCCTGGGCCACCATCTTCTCTCTCGTCTCGCTGGTGAACGTCTCCGGCCTCGCAGTCTTCATCGTGTTCGGAGACGCTCGCAGAGTGGACCTGCAAGACTACACCCCGCTGGTCCAGATCTGAACCAGAACCAGAGTGGACCTACAGGACTACAGCCCGCTGGTCCAGATCTGAACCAGAACCAGAACCAGAACCAGAGTGGACCTGCAGGACTACAGCCCGCTGGTCCAGATTTGAACCAGAACCAGAACCAGAGTAGACCTGCAGGACTACAGCCCGCTGGTCCAGATTTGAACCAGAACCAGAACCAGAGTAGACCTGCAGGACTACAGCCCGCTGGTCCAGATTTGAACCAGAACCAGAACCAGAGTAGACCTGCAGGACTACAGCCCGCTGGTCCAGATTTGAATCAGAACCAGAACCAGAGTGGACCTGCAGGACTACAGCCCGCTGGTCCAGATTTGAACCAGAACCAGAACCAGAGTAGACCTGCAGGACTACAGCCCGCTGGTCCAGATCTGAACCAGAACCAGAGTAGACCTGCAGGACTACAGCCCGCTGGTCCAGATCTGAACCAGAACCAGAACCAGAGTGGACCTGCAGGATTACAGCCCGCTGGTCCAGATCAGAACCAGAACCAGTTTTATTACCAAGTACAGGTTTACACAGTCACCACATTCAAGTCCCTCCTCAAATCCCACCTGTTCAGATCAGCCTCCTCACTGCAGTGCTACATGTCCCCTGTCACATCCTTTTGTACTGTCTTAAACCTCATTCTATGAATTGTAAGGTGTCCTTGAGTGCTTTGAGAGGCGCCTCTAAATAGAATGAATTAATATTAATATTATTATTATTACACATACGAGGAGTTTGCTTTGGTTTAAATGGTGCAGAAGTTTTTTTTATTTTCATTAAAACAGCAAGAAATAGTGCTTTTATATATATTTATAACTTATTTAAACTATTTTAAGGATATGTTAAATAACATATTATGGTCTGTGAGACTGGACACAACTTCTCCATCACATCACAGTTTCAGTGATTACAGTTATTAAAGCACTGAGAGGACAGTTTTATTTTTCTGTTTTCTAAGTCTGATCCAAAGGGTTTTCTCTCCTGTGTTTATGAGATAAGAAGAGGTGAAAAGAAAGGGAATATGTGTCTTAGTTCTGTATTTAAAAAACTAAATCTCTACAAACATCACAGGGGAAAAGTTTACAGGTGAATGGAATAAATATAAATACATATTTCAGTTCCTAAATTAAAAAGAATCCGTTAAAAACACATTTTATTATTTATTCAGCTCCCTATTTTATTTGTAATCTGTAAAAACATTGGCAGGGAAACAAAGATGCACGGTGACATTTTTAATTTATTATTTTCTAACCATTACTTCTAAGTTTGAGTGGTTTTCTGTGTGTTGTAGTTTTCATTTTGGCCACAAGAGGCTGACTTTAATTTCCCCAAGCATAGTTTCCCCTCTTGTGGCGAAGATGAGTATTACATCAACAAAAGCGATGAAGTAATACATACCATCGGTACTATTTGATACTTATCCTGGCTACATCTTTTTATATCACTATTTTAAAACCACATGTATTCTCACCTACCTCAGGAACATTATAAACACAGTACACAGAATTTAAATAATGTTGGTTTTAGGCGTTATTAAGTCTTGTTTTCTTTGTCATTGTTTTTGACAACGGGAATCAGCTTTACGGATCAAATGATGACTTGAAAACACGTGTGAAAAATGAAGGAACTTTTACATTGTGTGACTGCATTGTACAAATGTTTAAGATTGTATAAATGTTTACTGTAAAAAAGCTTGTTTACCACAAACATGTTTACATTAGTATTGACTACATTCAAATACGCACTAAAATAAATATCTTCTCTAATTTTTTAAGGGTAAACTATTTCATGGACGCTGAAGATTTGGACAATATGTTTTAGGGGTTATTTTCTGCTGCAGATCTTTGGTGCTTTTAAAGTTGGAAGATATTCATCATTATACTTTTAGTTCTCCAAAATGTTCATATCTATCAGAACAACATATCAAAAGTTCTGGTATTTTTATTTTTTGTGTTTACTTTATATACAGTATTTATTCAACTGAGCACTGTTTTAGTTTGGTTATGGTGATTGTAAACTGTCACATTTGTGATATTAAAATATGAATTATTACCAGTGGTGTAAAGTAACTAAGTACATTTACTCAAGTACTGTGACTTAAGTACAATTTTTAGAACATAAACACTACTTTACTTGAGTATTTCCATTGTATACTACTTAGTACTTCTACCCCTCTACAGTTCTGAGGTAAATGGTGTACTTTTAGTCCACTACATGTATTTATAATGTTCTACTTTAGCTTGAGGAACATTTTGAATACAGGACTTTTACTGTAACTGAGTACTCCTACACTCTGGTACTTCTACTTTTACTCAAGTACAAGATCTGAGTACTTATACTTTTACCCAAGTACAATACAACGTCTGAGTACTCTCTGGTAATAATATTGTTTTATATTTTTGATTCATGTGTTTTCGTATCTGAAGTTAAAACTCAAATTCAAGCTCCTCAGTTATATAAGTGCAACTTTGTATCACTGTGTTTTTCCCTACAGAGCTCAGAGGCTGACAGAGACACACACACACACACACACACACACACACACACACACACACACACACACACACACACACACACACACACACACACACACACACACCCTTGGTGCTCAGAGGCTGACAGAGATTCACAGCGCACTTAATTTTCTCCGGAGAAACTTGTTATTACACGTTTAAAAATCTCACGAAAATTCCACCTCAGCAGCAGCAGCCAATCCCAACAAAGCTACACACACACACACACACACACACACACACACACACACACACACACACACACACACACACACACACACACACACACACACACACACACACACACACACACACACACACAAAAGATACACAAGTACAAGATCTGAGTACTTGAGTAACATTTTGAATGCAGGACTTTTACTTGTGTGAGTTCTGCAAAACAGATTTCAGGCAAACATGAACCCAATTGATCAGATGCCATACTCCTGGAGTTTCTTTAAGGATCTGTTTGTGATCAAAGACAGAAATATAAAAAGCCTGTGCATAAAGTAATATATAATGAAAAAGCTAAATATTGCATTCATTTCTTCAAACACCTTTAGCAGTTTTTTCAAAAAGTCATACCTTCTTAAAACAGTTTGTGCTAATTCATGAAGTGGAAACATATCATTAAGGTATTCAGACCCCAAGTCAGTACAACTCAAATAAACATGAGACATTTATAAATAAAAAAACAAGTCTCTACTTTTGAAGAAGAGTAGTATTATTTCATGGAGCCTTTTCACATTGATTATTTTGTGCAAGACTCATAAAACATGTCATCTGAATCTGTAAAGAAAGCAGATTTGTATTGTTGGGTTTCAGGTAAGATTTGCACACCTGGGTTTGGGGATGTTCTGATTCTACAGACCCTCTCTCCTTGCACTATTTTAACTATTTGAAGAGTTTATCGCCGGCCACTAGAGGGCAGCGTCTCACTGCTGTCGCACCGGATATGCTGCGCTCTGACCCGGTAGTACTGAGCGGCCATTTTAGTTCAAACATTGTTCATTCACTCCGCCTCGTGTCGAGACGTTCATCCACTCACACATGTAAGACTGTTCCCACTATTGTTGGTGTATATATATACGTGGTGTCGTAGCCAGGGGTTAAGTTGGGATTTGATATGTGGGGGGGCTCTGTATGGAGGTGCGAGAGGGGGGCGGAGGTCGAGGATCTCATTATTTGACCTTAAGGGATATACACTGTGGCCCTAAAGCAACTGCTCCATTATCTGTATCAAATACACACATTGATGCCACCAAATGTCACAATAAAAATAGAAAGTACTACAAATAAACTGGAATTAATTTACATCTTAAATTATTAATATATATACACAAAAAAAGGTTTACAAATATCCAACCTTCAAATTCCTTTTTTAACTCAACACTGCTCTGCACACTTGCTAAAGAACATTTGTGTGGAAATCTCAATTCATTTGTAGGGCTGCGTGAGTATGGCCAAAAGTATGGGAGTAAATCTCACTGTAAACTATTTAATCATCACCAAATTCTGTGTTATTATGACCGATCATAACTCAGCTTTATGCAGACATACATTTAGCATGGTGTACAGGGCCGTTTTTTGGCATAGGCGACATAGGCGGTCGCCTAGGGCGCCAGATCTGGGGGGGAAAAAAACCTTTTTGACTGTTTGCGCTCATCCTAATTTTCAGCCTTGATGTAACAACATTCATAATTAAGTAAAGGTAACACCCTTTTCACCCCGGTTACACTTTTCATTTGCCCTGTACGATGGGCGCTGTAAGTGATGAAGTGGGGGGTGTTGGCTTATCAGGCGCCCGCAGCTCACAGCCAAAGTGGGCGTGGGAGCGAGCGAGAGAGATAAATGCAATTTATGTAAACAAATATTTCCAAGGCACTCCTTTATAATTATTTGGATAAACAGGTTTGAAATCATTTCAATGTATACTATAGGACAGTAAACCAAAAATATCGTTTAAAACTTGAGAGATATAAAAATATGCATAAATAAATGTTAACTGGTAAAATAAGATATGAATGAACAACAAAAATAAAAGTTACATTTATTTGTTATTGGCTGTGGGTTATTGGTTATGTTCACATATTTGGTTATTAAAATGTAAACCGATCTTTTTAATATGGGTGTTTAGAGTTGTACCCCCTAGATCTAGTCTCTAGTAATGTGTGCTTAAAGTGCACCAGATTGAAGCATTTTACTTTACATTTTCAAACATTTCTTCACACACACACACACACACACACACACACACACACACACACACACACACACACACACACACACACACACACACACACTAGTGATGGGAATTCCGGCTCTTCTTGGTGAGCCGGATCATTTGGCTCGGCTCACCAAGAAGAGCCGGCTCTTTCGGCTCCCAAACGGCTGTTCAGTTTACCACATATTATACCTTTTATAATTCAATCAAATGTAGCCCTGTTTTGACTAATGATTTATATGTGTACACATATCACTTAAATTATTCAATACATCCTTTGTACTGAAGTATTCAAAAGTAAAAATTACATGTTTAATATCAATTATTTGCTGCATGTGGCCAATTGTTTTCATTGCATTTACAGACCCTTGTATC